CCGCCATCCCTGCGGCAAGTCCCGGCCGGCGCCCGGCCGCGCTCGCCCCGCGCCGCCTCCCCCGCTCTCGCCCTTCCTCAGCCGCGGCGCCACCGAGCCGGCTGTCCTCCGCCTCTCAAGCGCAGCGGTGATTGGGCAGCCGCGGAGATTCCTCGCGGGCGATTGGTCGTCAGCCCGGTCAATTAGGGCACCGGAGGCGGGCGCAGCTGGAAGCGGCGCTGTGTGCGGGGTTGGTTGAGAGCCGCGGCGAGCCCCGCTACCGGCCCACGGCCGCCCCCGCGCAGCCTCGCGGCCGAGGTGCCCGCTGGGCGCTGTAGTCTCCCTCCGCGGCGGGCCGTTTCCCGCCGGGGCTCTGAGGGAGCGGTGGGCAGCGCCCGTGGCGGGAATGGCCGCAGGGCCGCTCAGCGCTGCAGCGCCCGCTCTGGCCCGGGGGGAGAGCCGCCCCCTCGCTGCGGTACCGGCCTCCGCCTCAGCAGCCCGGGCTCGGCCACCCCCGGGCCTCATCGGCGAAGGGGCCTGCCTAGGGGCAGCGGGCCCGCGCCGCCTCCCCCGCTCTCGCCCTTCCTCAGCCGCGGCGCCACCGAGCCGGCTGTCCTCCGCCTCTCAAGCGCAGCGGTGATTGGGCAGCCGCGGAGATTCCTCGCGGGCGATTGGTCGTCAGCCCGGTCAATTAGGGTACCGGAGGCGGGCGCAGCTGGAAGCGGCGCTGTGTGCGGGGTTGGTTGAGAGCCGCGGCGAGCCCCGCTACCGGCCCACGGCCGCCCCCGCGCAGCCTCGCGGCCGAGGTGCCCGCTGGGCGCTGTAGTCTCCCTCCGCGGCGGGCCGTTTCCCGCCGGGGCTCTGAGGGAGCGGTGGGCAGCGCCCGTGGCGGGAATGGCCGTAGGGCCGCTCAGCGCTGCAGCGCCCGCTCTGGCCCGGGGGGAGAGCCGCCCCCTCGCTGCGGTACCGGCCTCCGCCTCAGCAGCCCGGGCTCGGCCACCCCCGGGCCTCATCGGCGAAGGGGCCTGCCTAGGGGCAGCGGGCTGAGGAAGGAGAGGCGGGGGCGGGAGGGAGGCCGGCCCCTCGCCTCACCTGAGGGACCGCTGTCCCCTGCGGCGGGAAGCGCTGCCCTGAAGGACACGGCGGGGCTGTCACCCGTGGGCTCCACGCTGTGGCGGTAGGAAGGGGTTGATGCGCCCCGCACACAGGCCGGTAAAGCACATAGGCCTTCGAAGAGAAGGGTTCAGCCCTCGCTGGTGGCTCCTTACTGCAGACGGGACTCTCCAGCCCGCTGAGGCGATGGAGCCGGAGCTGGCACAGCGGCCCACGGGACGCGTTTGTGGGCCGTGGTGTCAGCCCGGAGGCCGGATCCACACGGTGTCAAACCCAGCGATCCGATCCGTCTGGCAGCTAGGAGAGAGCTGTTCGGGGGGAAGGGGGAAGGAGAGATCTGCTGTCCTCGCAGCAGCTTGTGTGCAAGTGAGTAAACGCGTTGCAGCCTTCCCCTCATGGGAAGTTTCTTAAAAATAAAAAAAAAAAGAAAAAGCAAGCTTATATTTCCCTACTGATAGTGTGCATAACTTAAGCTGTTTCTTCATTCATCACAAGGAGATCATAGTCAAAGAGTAAGGTTAGAAGAGAGATCCGAGAGCTAGTGGTTTACAAATGAGTTACCCAGCAGTGGGGGCTGGTGATATAACCCAATAGTGAGCCCAAACGGATGTGACTTGCACATTGTCACCTTCAGTCAGATGGTGACACCTTCTTCGTTCTCAAAGTGAACTACCCCAAGCAGTGGTCCAGCGGTGGTAGTGGTGCGGGTACAGCACTGGTGATAAGCATACATTCCTCTGTAGATAGAGAATGTGTGTGTGCACAATGTGTCCTAACTAACAATTGAAGCAGTTACAAGAAGAATTGAAGAAGTTACAAGAAAGATGATATGATAAAGAAATGTTTGTTCTGTGAACAAGGAGGGTTGCTCGGACAAGGGGAGGGTTCCTTTTTTGTCTATTTTTTTTTTCAATAGTACATCTTTTCCCTAATTGAAAAATGGAGTTACGAGTTTTGCTCACCTTTGATAGACATTTACAGTTTCTCTGATGGAGAATATTCTACTGAAGGTACACATTCTTCCAAATCTGTCTTAAAGGCATTGCAAAGGTGGCAATTACTCTAGGATAGGCCTGTTCCTTACACTTACTCTTCTTATGCACTCCTTCTAAACTAGACAGTACTTTTTTTCCCCAGATTACAAGGGGGGTAGATGAATGCCCTAACCACCTCTTATTTTAAATAATGCCAACAAAACTTGCTATGTACTAGGTGTAATGGGGAGCTTATGAATATGAATCCATCTGTGAAGAATACTTTATTGTTCCCCAAACAATTGACATATTGCCTGAGGCGTACAATTCTTCAGGAAAATATTCTGATTCAATTAAACAGAATGGAAAGGCCTTAACAAACTTGTTTGTCTGGTTTGTCTGTTTACCTGTTTAACATTGCTAATCCAAGCCGGTGGCAGTGGTGTGGGTACAGCATTGGTGATAAGCATACATTCCTCTGTAGATAGAGAATGTGTGTGTGCACAATGTGTCCTAACTAACAGTTGAAGCAGTTACAAGAAAGATGATATGATAAAGAAATGTTTGTTTTGTGAACAAGGAGAGAATGTGTGTGTGCACAATGTGTCCTAACTAACAGTTGAAGCAGTTACAAGAAAGATGATATGATAAAGAAATGTTTGTTCTGTGAACAAGGAGGGTTGCTCGGACAAGGGGAGGGTTCCTTTTTTGTCTATTTTTTTTTTCAATAGTACATCTTTTCCCTAATTGAAAAATGGAGTTACGAGTTTTGCTCACCTTTGATAGACATTTACAGTTTCTCTGATGGAGAATATTCTACTGAAGGTACACATTTTTCCAAATCTGTCTTAAAGGCATTGCAAAGGTGGCAATTACTCTAGGATAGGCCTGTTCCTTACACTTACTCTTCTTATGCACTCCTTCTAAACTAGACAGTACTTTTTTTCCCCAGATTACAAGGGGGGTAGATGAATGCCCTAACCACCTCTTATTTTAAATAATGCCAACAAAACTTGCTGTGTACTAGGTGTAATGGGGAGCTTATGAATATGAATCCATCTGTGAAGAATACTTTATTGTTCCCCAAACAATTGACATATTGCCTGAGGCGTACAATTCTTCAGGAAAAGATTCTGATTCAATTAAAGAGAATGGAAAGGCCTTAACAAACTTGTTTGTCTGGTTTGTCTGTTTACCTGTTTAACATTGCTAATCCAAGGGACATGGTTTCTCTCATCACTTTGTAACTTCACAAGTTAATTCATTATCTAATATAACCGCATTGTCATGCACAATATCATGGAAATAGCATTATGAATATGTCTTCTTAGCATACTGTAAGTCAGGATGCACGCTGCAAGCTTTAAAAGACAAAATACTCTTTCTCTTCATCATCTGTTAGTTTTAAAGTTCTGTAAAGTGATCTGTTAGATTTCAAATTACCATGGACTCTTCATAAGTAGACAAAACCTGAATGGTTCAAATAGAAATCAAGCAGGAAAAAAATATACTCAAACTGAGTCTTCTCGAAAAGAAAATCTGTTTCCACTTAAATGCAGGAGGTCAGTTAGTTTTAAAGTTCTAGCGATCTGTTAGATTTCAAATTACCATGGACTCTTCATAAGTAGACAAAACCTGAATGGTTCAAATAGAAATCAAGCAGGAAAAAAATATACTCAAACTGAGTCTTCTCGAAAAGAAAATCTGTTTCCACTTAAATGCAGGAGGTCTTTACAGAAAAGATCTCATCTTTTTTAATTCACTGCTCCAGAAATATATCAAGAGGTTCTTCAAGGCTTTCTGTTCTACTATTTTTGGTTCAAAGACGATGGTAAATGTAACAGATGCCAGCGTTTCCTCTATCAGTGCGAACTCACAGAATATTTTCACCACACACAAAAAAAAAGCCCAAGACATTAAAATCTCTATCTTTGTGTAACTATGGAATCAAGCCACTCTACCATTTTTACTTTTTAATTCACTGCTCCAGAAATATATCAAGAGGTTCTTCAAGGCTTTCGTTCTACTATTTTTGGTTCAAAGATGATGGTAAATGTAACAGATGCCAGCGTTTCCTCTATCAGTGCAAACTCGCAGAATATTTTCACCACAAAAAAAAAAAAGCCCAAGACATTAAAATCTCTAGAACTCACAGAATATTTTCACCACACACAAAAAAAAAGCCCAAGACATTAAAATCTCTATCTTTGTGTAACTATGGAATCAAGCCACTCTACCATTTTTACAGTAGTACAGGTAAAAGCTTAAATGCATAGTGTTGATTGGGCCTGGAAAAAGTTATGGGGCCAACCTTTATTCAGATTTTATGTTGCTAATTCCAAGTGGCTATCTCAATGTAAGAATGTGCCTTTTTTTGTGGTGTAACTATACCTTGTTCTTATCTTCTAACCAATTGTATTTTATTGCTGTATCTGGCTCTGTGTGGTAATTACCTGGTGTTCCATTACATGTCATTAAGAACAGTTTTGGATGCAGAGGGAGTAAAAGGGGGATTAAGTGTAAAAAGTGCCCCTAAATGGTATCTACTTGTGCTACTGTTAGAGACAGACTAGAGAGCCAGGTGGATAATGGGTCTGACCCTGAAGGGTATTTCATGTCCTGATGTAACATCTTTTTTTTTTATTTTTTATAGGAGCTTGTCATGCAGCATTTGAATCGCTGTTATCAAACATATGTGAGTGAAGAGACACTTCTGAATCTGCATGGAATGGTAAGAGCATCCTAGGTCCTCCTATAAAACTACAAAGCTCTTGCAAGCATATTGAAATGCAGTAGCCCAGCACAGATACACATTTAACTCCAATGTGGCCGTGAATTAATCTAGTCATTTTAGTTTATTAGTACTTATGTAGAAAGAAAAGGGGAAAGAAGATGAGCTTCTAACTCCAACCTGTTGCATATCTCTGAGTCTATTCCTGCTACGAATATTCCCTAGAAGGTGAATTCTCGTATGTGCATTTTACCTGTCTGTGCATATAAACAGTAAACCTAAATATTTCTTCTTAAAAGTATTACATCGCTTTCATTATTCCTGAGAAATGCTTACACTGAAATTAGGTTAGCATTTTTATCATAAAATGTAGCGAAAACATTACTTTTATAAATAAATTATTAAAATCACAGGAAGGGGAAAATCATTATTCGCATCTACAAAGGTTCAGATCTTGCCAAAAGGTGAATTTCACCTTGAGGTGGAGAAGAGCAAGTACTGGAAACAATTGTCAGCTGGTTTAACTTTTCTGAAGTCAGAAACCTTAGGATGTTACTTCCTAAGCAGAGGGAAAATGAAGTTACTTAGCAAAGTTAGTCAATAGCTGTAAATCACCACACATGGACACCTCTGTGTTTGTTCTGAAGATTCTTAAATATCTCGGTTTGGTGAACTTCCAGGATTGTCTATAGATGGAACGTAACTTTCTAGTGTTTCAACTTCTGCTTTCTTAAGCTTCATGGATAATCATGGAAAAATAAATTTGCTTTCCTGGAAATCTTCTTCCTTGTGGAATAAGAGAGATGTGAAAATTTTTATCTGTGTTTTTTGTCTTAAAGGAATGATCTAATGTTTCTTCAAGGAATCTTTAAAAATTAAAAACCACACCTAAACACAAACATGTGCTTATATCTGCCAATGGAGAAGGGTGACATGATTAACAATGTGTAAGACCTTCTGAACTCTGCTGTTATTTTCTTGAAATAAATGTGTATGGGAGCAGATGATTCATCCAGCATAGTACAAACTCCTTGGTTTCAAATACTTTTATTGGAACTTCTTTGCCTAGACATCAGTGTGTTGGGTTTATTTATTTATTTCTGTATGAGTCAGAAGTTCTGACTACTGTTTCTGCTTAGTTGACCACAGAAGTAAGAGGCAAAGCTCCAGAAAATTTTTTGAGTGTCAGAAATCAAATTATTGTAAGAAAAGAGGAGAGAGAAAAAGAAAGAAAAAGAGGGGAGATAGATAGTAAGATGCACAGACTTCATAATTGCTCATTTCCAAGAGATGGAAAATTCCAAGGTGAGAAAAAGAGATAGATAGTAAGATGCACAGACTTCACAATTACTCATTTCCAAGAGATGGAAAATTCCAAGGTTTGCTTAGTCAGTAAATGAACATCCACCAAATTGTGGAATTTGTTGAAAATTGCAACTAAAAATGCATGTATAAACAGAGGTGGAAACAGTGCTCTCGCTGAAAAGTAGAAAGGAAAACACATTTTATAAGCTCACATTTTAGGCAAAAGTCAGTGAGCAAAAAAGTATTGTCCAAAGATGGCATAGGACTTACGAAGTTTTGTAGATGTTTAAACAGATATTCAGTTCATAGCAAATGAAAAATTACAGACCTTGAGACATCTAGTTCAGCCCTTTTTCCAAGGAAGGACCAACAGTCCTATGAAGTTCCTGGCTAGTATTTGTCAACCTTTTCTAAAAGTTGATGGAAATCCAGTTTTTTTTATTGTCTGTTTCACTATTCTACTAAAAGAAAGATTTCACCCATTATTTCTTCGTTCCTGGCTAGTATTTGTCAGCCTTTTCTAAAAGTGCTCTGTTGATGGAAATCCAGTTTTTTTATTGTCTGTTTCACTATTGTCACTAAAAGAAAGATTTCACCCATTATTTCTTCTCCTGTCACCAAGGAATTTATTCCCTTTCACTGTGCAACTATCTTAAAATTACTTGAACACAATTTTTACCTCTCACCATCAGTCTTTATTCTAAGAAAACCAAGTTCCTTCAGTCTTTTTTCTTTTTTCACCGATCACGATTTCTAGACACAGAGTGTCAATACTCTATGCTAAGAAAACCGAGTTCCTTCAGTCTTTTTTCTTTTTTCACAGATCACGATTTCTAGACACAGAGTGTCAATAAGCATAAAGTCCCCTCTGAAGGGACAGAGGGATCTTGGATGTCTTTCAGAAGAGTGCTAAGAGCACTGGGTCTGGGTGCTGGGTTTTGTCTATTTGACAGCTTCAGAAACTTTGTGAGTCTCTTTTTTTTTTCATAACTGTCTCCTTTCTAAAGGAATCTCAGATTCCCTACAAGATGTTCTGAGTGATATTGTTCAGTTCAAATGGTGTCTAGAGAGTGATAAACAGCACCGACATCAGGTTCATAATAAGGTGAGAACAGACATCCTGATTAGTATAAGAGGTCTATAGGAAGTCTCTTCAAGGAGAACTGTGAGAGTGTATGTCTGACTCCTTTGCTAGGGGAAGAAGGGTTAATTGGCAGTACAGCACACCAAAGTATTGATGCTATGAGATATTGAATAGAAAAAGGAAATTTTACATTATTATGTAAAGGGAATTTTGTTGGGAGCCTTCATCATATGTGTTTAATTCCATTCTGCAAAAAGCTTCCTGATGACTGACTTGTGGTCATAGAATCATAGAATTGTTTAGGTTGGGAAGGCATCCTGATTAGTATAGGAGGGCTATAGGGAGTCTCTTCAAGGAGAACTGTGAGAGTGTATGTCTGACTCCTTTGCTAGGGGAAGAAGGGTTAATTGGCAGTACAGCACACCAAAGTATTGATGCTATGAGATATTGAATAGAAAAAGGAAATTTTACATTATTATGTAAAGGGAATTTTGTTGGGAGCCTTCATCATATGTGTTTAATTCCATTCTGCAAAAAGCTTCCTGATGACTGACTTGTGGTCATAGAATCATAGAATTGTTTAGGTTGGAAAAGACCTTTAAGATCATCAAGCCCAACCATAACCTAGCACTGCAAAGTCCACCACTAAACTGGGTCACTAAGCATCACGTCTACTTGTCTTTTAAATAACTCTAGGGAAGGCGATTCCACCACTTCCCAGGGCAGCCTGTTCCAAAGCTTGACAACCCTTTTGGTGAAGAAATTTTTCCTAATCTCCAATCTAAACCTCCCCTGGGGCAACTTGAAGCCATTTCCTCTTGTCCTATCACTTGTTACTAGGGAGAAGAGATTGGCACCCAAAATGGATTCAGAAAAAAAGTTAGAGCCAGAATGGAAGCTTTAGGTTACTAACCAATTTAAAATACAGTTTCACTTTCCGGCTTTACCATAGGCTACTGGTCTGATTTTAAGGTGGATACACTATTTCTGTGCCTTAGTTTTCCATGTGTAATGACTCACCATGAGTCAGGAGTGGATGACTCAGAGGTTATGGACAGTAGAGCTCCTATGGATTGAAATCAGAGCCAGCTTGATAGGTACCTGCACAGAATATCGAGGAGTCCTGAAGACTAGCAGTACGTGTGCAGCGCAGTTCATGCAAGTCTTCTGTAATCTCCTTTCTGCCTGAGACTGGCTCCATCATCCATATTGTTATAACTTTAAACATATGAAAAATGAGAATTATAATACATATTTTTCTGATTTGTTTAATCTGTGATTTTGTCAGGCAATGCAATGAGCTACAGTTACAGTATTTGGATTTTGCATGCAACGTAGTACAGTGGGTCTTCTGGCACAACAGTGGTACAGTGTATAGCTCTAGTTGTAAAAACATATAATTGACTTCGTTTGCAATAAGCTTTGTGGCATTCTAATGTACAAACTTGGTTCTTCTAAATTACTGTCTATCCCCAGTATCTCTTTCCTTTGAGTTTTGACATGCCCTCTGCCATCTCTGCAATTCCGTAAGAATTTCAGGTGGTGTGATTTAACGTAGGTATCTTCATCTAACTAAAACAACCATAATCATCTAGATATCACTATACTTCCTTCTTAAAAGTTCAAAAATTTAATTGAGAGGTGAATATTCTGTAAAGACCCAGTTGCTTCTATTTGCCTAATAATTTACGCCTCTCAGTATCTGCTGTGTGGTTCACAACTTTACCAAGGCCATAAAAAACAGAAAGTCTAAATTCCCTTTTTCATGCCCTTTCCCCATTAACACATACCAGAGAGAATCTCTTTCAGAATGTGGACTGTCCCTCTGAAGCACTGACATGTTGAAGAATAGTTGTGCCTCTAGGTTTAGTCCATTACACCAAAATCTCTTTAGTTATCATTTACATTAAATACAAGATTAAATGGAAACGCATGCAAATATATATACTAAAAAAAACCCCCACATTAATTTTTGGAAACTAGATGTAAAATACAGTTTTGCAGCATGCATCATCCCAACTAGCTATTTAACTAGGCTAATTCATAACGCATCTGTCCTTACTTGCGGACTTACATATTTATAAACAGATAAGTAATTGGCCAAACATACATTAAATTTACCTGTCTCGGATCCGAAGCTACGGCACAGCAATCTCCACTGTTAGCAGGAAAGTATGTGTTTCCCTTCTACACCACTGGTTGATAGATGGCAGGTCCCCATGTACAACCACTCCTGCTGGGTTACAAAATGCTACTCTGTCATTATCATCTTGGTGTCCAGGCTTCCCAGCAGGTCTGTAAGGAAGTGCAGCATGGTTATTTATAGAGGCCATAAAACAAAAGTAATTTTTGAGTAATTCAACTTTAAGTATTAACTTTGCAGCTGAAACCATTTCCCAATATGAAACAGAACAAAAAATCCAGGTAGCATTGACTTCTATTCACATGAAGACTGGTTTGAAGTGATTTCTCACAATGATGCATTCCTGAGCTGCCCCTAGCTGTGTGAGGGACCTCTAATCTCTTGAACGCAAAGAAAAGACAGCTTCTTCCTTTGCACTGTAGAAAAAAACCCAAAAACCAACCTACATACAGCAGTACTGCCATCTTCTGCTTGCTTGCTTTCCTGCATGGAAGTACCAGGTTTATACTGCAAAGCAACAACAGGAAAGGTGCTTTTTTCTACTACTAGGTATCTGAAGCAATAAAACTTTCTAATAGTCAGGGATAACATATGTCTGGAGTTCCACAGATGGGGGTAGAGGGGTAGGTTTCACATGTGAACTTCTGGGCATAGAAGAGGACTTCAGATGTTTGTCCAGGATTTCTAATCTATCACATCCCAGCCAGAGCAACATCTCAAAAATGCAGAAGGCAAACGTGTACATTTGTGTACTTGTGCTGTCCACAAGGAATATATTATACTCATTGAAGGTGCTCCTTAGAGGTGATCCCTATGAAATTGTACACATTTGAACAGAACTAACACATTCCTTGTCATCTGCACAAGTACACCAAGACCAAAGCACGAATGACCCCTGTGCACAGGACTAATGCAATGCAGTTGGGGTATATTTGATCATAGGCAAGCATTTGTGTGGTCCGTATGCAGTAGGTCCAACAGGTCCCAGATGTATCACATGTGCTCTTCATCTGCAGTTTCCTGGATGTGCTGTACATCCACACATAGGCAAGAGAGAAAGCTGGAAGCCCTACTTCAGGTATTTTTCTTCACTGTGAGGGTGGTGGAGCACTGGAACAGGTTGCCCAGGGAGGTGGTTGAGGCCCCTTCCCTGGAGATATTCAAGGAGAGGCTCGATGAGGCCCTGGGCAACCTGGTCTAGTTGGGGGTGTCCCTGCTGACTGCAGGGAGGTCCAACTAGATGACCTTTGGAGGTCCCCTCCGGTCTGGGCAATTCTATGATTCTATGATTCTATTTTCTTTAGAAAGGTGAAGGTATGGTAAATTATATTTTTCCAAACTGAAGTTGCCAGCAAAAGGCACATTGAGCCAGTGTGGGCTTCAGGGACCCCACACACATCAAGGGAGCTGCTCTGTATAAGTTTGCCATATGGTCCTAGCCGATGCATTGTTGGATGGAGCACCCAGTGTAAATACTGATGGGTGCAGAGGGGTGTGAGGCCATAAATGAGATGAACAGGCGTATTCCGAGGATCCAGAGTTAGAATGGGAGTGGTATCACGGGGGTGGTTGACTGCTCCTCACCAGCTGGGAGCAGACAGCTTGTGCTTCTGAGAACATTCCTATGCATTGCAATCCCCGGTGCAGGGTCCCTGGCAGTCAGACCTGTGTGCCTACTGAACTGCTGATGTGTTATAGACCCTACAGACCAAACCCGGTCCTGGTGAGTGATTCAGTGCTGGTACTAACATCACCACTGACTCGATGGAGCATTGCTCAGGCTCAGCTTGTTGCCACTGCTGTTGCCAGTTCTGCCCAGCCACATCCATCCCACAAATTGCTACATGCTGGGCTCAGAAATGCCAGAGGACAAATGCTTTTGCTTCTGGCTCGGGATAAAGCTTTTAAGAGTCTAGGGCAGAGGTTTCTACTAGATTGTTCTTGAACCTGGAAAGCTTCCCACACCAGAATCTGCTGTGAGTCATAGAGGATGATCCAATTGCTCTGGTTTACTTGAATTCCTTCCTTGGACACATCCACAGCCAATATACAGAGGATGGACAACTCCACCCAAAGAGAATAGTGATGATTGCCTATATAGACTTTCTCTTCCCATAGACCCAGAAAGTTTAGTTAGTTTCATTCTTCTCTTAGACCCAGAATTACTGCTAAGAACAAATTAAGAACTAATGAAGACATTAGCAGGTAGTGAAGAACAGTCTGTTGCTTACTACCCCAAACCTCTGGGGGATAAAAAGGCAAAAGATGTTAGCAAAAATCCATTTTGTCAGTGAGATCTCAGTTCACACTCAGTTAATTGGCCTGTTTTGCAGGATTTAACCTGGTGGCATAAGAACCTTGAAATAAATCTCTTAGATACGATTAGAGATGAAAGAGAGATTAGCACGGGCAGGAGAGTTGAAGTCTTTTTCTCCATCTCTGTAGGTGAGTCAGTGTAAAGACAGAAGAACTACACAGACATCAGGAAATCAGTTCTCCACTCTTCCTCAGGATGCCTGACCCAGGTATTTTCTCCCCTGTACTCGGCAAGTTACCAGTTTCAAGATCTTGTTCAGTCCTCTGAAGCAGGTTAGTGGTTTCTTTTATATTAAATCACAGATAGGAATGTGTGATTAGCTAAAATGGCAGGTTTTCATGAAATTGTTTAAGATAAGATGTGGTTTATTTATGAAAAAATTGCAAGCCAAATTTCTTTAGAATCATAGAATGGTTAGAGTTGGAAGAGACCTTAAAGATCATCAAGTACCAACCCCCCCTTTAGACAATTTGCATCTGATACGTCAACATTATAAATGAATAAATAGCTGTGCTATGTCTTGTTCTCCATAGTTAGAGGAGTTTGATAGGAAAGGAACAGGTAGGTGCCATCTTGGAAGCAAAAAGCTCCAGTATGCTGGTGGAAGCTAGACAAGAAAAGCTTGAGAACAGTATCGATAATACGAGAGAGATTTCCACATTTGTTTGGCTGCTTCTGTTGAAATAAGTATTTCTCCCCTTACAGAATAAAATCCAGCTTGCTGTCCCGTAGCTGGGAAAAAAAGGTCTGTGTGTTTATGCTTCATAAATCCAAAGTAGCTTGTGTGCAATGGTGAGGAGTGATTCTAAGAACTTTGATAGAGATGTTAGTTCCACTGAACTACGAGGAGTGTTTGTGGTTTTACAGTAGCTCACTGCCAAATTAACTTGGAAAAGAACAGATACGTTTTGCAGAGCAAGACAATGACACTTTTATCTCATAACTGCACTTTAGTTCTTTTGGCTGGAAGAACTTTCTTCACAGTGCTCAAAAAATGCTTCTGTGTGGCAGCATTTGTGTTGCAATACAGCTTATTCATAAATGTATTCAATACTTCATCAAACAACTAGGGAAAGAATAATGTTATGGTGTATTTACAAAATTCATCATGATGGGAAGAGAGTTTTCACATTATCTAGCATAGGAAAAAATAATCTCAAGAGAAGTATCCTTGTAGAAGCTGGGAACACGGGAACGGAGTAGATATAAGTTGTTCTTCTTGATACACTCAGAGTTTCACCAGAAGCACAGTTATCCCAAAGATCCTTTGTGCAATCCTGGGTATATAAGTGACGACAGGGTCAATCAACAAGTGGTTACTACACTACAACAACCAGTCACTCCCCTGTTTTGCTCTGGCCAAATGGCTCATGTGGAACAGCAGATCTTATACTGCTGGAGGACTGGGGTGTGGGTACCTCTGTTAGATGAACGTGAAGATTCCATGAAATCTGGTCTTACAAAAATTGCACCAAGGAAGCAGCGGGAATTACCTTATGAGAATTACTGAAGGCAAGGACTTAGTAGGAGAAGGTGCTCTTGCACACAAATTTTTCAGTTTTTTACCTTTAGGCATCTGAAAACAGGGGAAGGAGCTGTATCGGAATAGCTACATGAGATAAACTGCTTATGGAATTCAGCTTCAAGTTGCTTTATGGCTAGAAAATGACAGAAAAATCTCAAATTTACCTCTTCCTAAATCAACAGTGCCTCTTGAGTAGATGGATTTTAAGTAGAACAGTTTACAAATTTTGTTCAAATGTTAAAGCAAAAAATGCTTGGCGAATAGGGGGTTCCTAGTGACACCGTTACTATATATATCTGTGCCTGACAATTTAGAGGCATTTTGCAAATACATCTGCCATGTCATACATGAACAGTGAGCGACACATTCATATACACTGGCCATCAAATGTGAGCTGCGCATCAGGCAGCCAGGAGATTCCACAACAGATTCTCTCTCCTGTGAGCCCTGAGTATCAGGGGCCAACAGGCCTATTTGCAGCAGCCACCCGCAGCTATTTCAGTTCAAGTCACGAACTGCTTAACTGGTGAAGCAATCAAAGGTGCTGTCTCCAGGCTTAGCAGACAGGCTGTCAGCTAAGGAATTCCTATGGAGGCTTAATTCTGTGCCAGCGGAGCGTGATCCTTTTAAATGAGGTCTGAAGGGTACCACAGAAGAATGGTGTGAAGAAAGAATTGTCATTTTATAAATGACTGTTCTCTGGACTTGTTTGCACAGAGGTGTCTATCAATAATCAGTGTTCTGTCATGACAATCGATAAAATTATCACAATATGATCACAATCAATACTCAACCATAACTCATGATCAGCCTTAACAATCATTAAAATTAGGATCTTGTTTTTAAAGTCAAAGAGCCGCTGGCCTCAGCACCTTTGGAAATAATACCAGTAAGTGTGTATTGTCCAAAAGACATATAGAGATGAATAGAGGGGAATTAGTTTCCTCTATAAATGCAGGAGAAAAAAAACATGCAACATGAATTAATTAGATCTCACAGGTATTAAAATGTTTTAATATTCAAATGCATGAAGATATCTAACTATGACAGTTTCTAATATGAATGGAATCTTTATCTCACCTGTACACATACAATTGGTTCTTTCCAACAAATACAGGTGAAGTCTCTGACGTACCATTACCTTTTTAAACTGCACTCTACAACAATCTGCTTACCCAGTGTTAAGCTTCATTGCCGCTGCGGATCCTTTAGTGGGTAGGTGTAGCCCTGCTTCTGTACAGCTTGTCTTGGTTTTCATGCTGGTTTAGCTCATACCAGTTTTTTTTCAGTTTAAGTGAAGTAGTAGAGTCCACTAGCTTAAAAAATACTAAGCGAGAATAATGCTGCTTATGCTTCCCTATTTCCCCAAGTTTGCAGGGTTATAAATGCCATTGTAATAGTGGAAGTAGAAGACTGCATAATCATATAAACACAGAGTTGTACAGTATAAAACCACTCTAATGAAAATGACTGAATTAGTACAAGACCATGCTGAGAGTAGGTGTTCTGGGGAGGAAAGAAAGAAAATCTCCATATATCTTGCACATGTTGGGGAAAGGCAATCACAAAGCATCAGAAGCACTGAAGAAGGGTAAAAATTCATGGTTTGATCCCGAGGTACCACAGCATAGTTCTACATCCACATCACGTACACCAAACCCACATTGTCTCCAGCTCTAACAAGTTTTAGATCTTGGATGTTATTAACTGCTCTCTGCCTGCAATTGCGGTATAACTGGGGAAGTGCAGAGAAGCTAGTAGTAAAGTTGCAGAGAAGCAAAGTCAAAAGTGCTGGGAAATATGTTATTTTCTTAGCTCCACTAATTGCTGGGGAAAAGAAGACAGACCTTGAAACACAGAAGTCGTCCTTCAGCTGTGAAACTCGGAAATATCAGATTTGAAACTCAGGGCAGAAAGAGTCTCTCTGAATATATTTTATGTCCGTCATTGTGATCTTTGGAGAGAAAACCAGAAGAGTCTGTAGATCACATGGGAAAGTTATTAAAGGACTGCTAATAATCTAAGAGTAGGTGTATTGAAAAGAAACTAATAAAACATACAAGATATAAACTACAAAAAAAAAAAAGGAGTAGATTCCTGTAATATTTCAAATGGCTCCGCTTCAAAAAATATTGTGGTGTCTGTTGGGCTGCAGAGTTTTCTTCAGGTGGGAGAATGGAAGCAGTTCCAGTGGACGGTGAAGAAGACCAGGTTATTGCAGAAAGTGCAACCAGGAATGAAGTTTGGGATTCTGACTGAAATATGGGGAACTGGGAAAGAAAACTAGGCTTCAAAAAATATTGTGGTGTCTGTTGGGCTGCAGAGTTTTCTTCAGGTGGGAGAATGGAAGCAGTTCCAGTGGACGGTGAAGAAGACCAGGTTATTGCAGAAAGTGCAACCAGGAATGAAGTTTGGGATTCTGACTGAAATATGGGGAACTGGGAAAGAAAACTAGTCTACAGGTGGTAGGAGGGTTGGAATAAGGTTCTCAGGACAAGGGGAAAGAATAAGGAACTTTAGCTGCAGGAGCAGAGGTTAAGACAGTAGTGGTGATTCCCTAAGGATTAAATAGGCCTCATTTAATACATCACGCTATTCCAAAACCTGTTTCTAAATAAGAACTTTCAGAAAGAAAGGAAGCACAATCAGGTAGAAAAAGAAATAGAGCATCTTAAACTGTTCATTTTTTTTCTTAAGGTGTGAAAATGTTCTGCTTTTTTTTTTTTTTTTATGTTACTTCATATACAAATGGTAGTGCTTTTATGCCAGATCCAGTATGCTATTCAAAAAATCTGTTTCTAAATAAGAACTTTCAGAAAGAAAGGAAGCACAATCAGGTAGAAAAAGAAATAGAGCATCTTAAACTGTTCATTTTTTTTCTTAAGATGTGAAGATATTCTGCTTTCTTTTTTTTATGTTACTTCCTATAAAAATGGTAGTGCTTTTATGCCAGATCCAGTGGAAAAATGTGGTGGAGGCTGATTTGTTCACCAGTCAGGTCACAGCACTTACAAGTTAAGAAAATTTTGATCGTATTTTCTAGAAAACCAACACAGTCATTGATAGCTTAACTACCTGTTGAACATTTTGTGTCTGTGGCTAATCACAGTCACTTCCCCCTCCAGTTGTTGCCAAACTGATCATATCTTAGTAGTATAAGTGTAGGAATAAAACTGTGCTTTGCTAGCAAAATCATGTTTTACTGCACATAATTGATGAAATGACTAAAATTGCCTGTAGGAAACTGTTTCTGGTACTATTTTCATGGTTTTTTTCCATATGGATAAAAGGCTTATGTGATTATGCTGTATATATCTGCTCGTTCATCCTGCTTGTTCAACTTTTGAAGGCAAATCTGACCATGATGCAGTAAGAATTATAAATTCCTATAATCCTCAAGAAAATACAGGCAACAAATAGAAGAGAAAAGCACTGTGAATTTTTTTGAAGGGAAAGACAGCAGATCCAGCTCATTTCCAGACATCAGAACACCTGCACAAAAAATTGCTCTTGACAAAAGTCCCCAGGAATCCAGAGTTCATTGATTCTACTGGTCACTTATTTTTGATTGCTCTAGCTGGTCCTTAGAATTTGGGGGTTTTTTTCAAGTGATTCACACTGTATGAAGTTTAAGCAATAAATTTCCCTGGGGCACTCCCTTGGCAGGACTCGGAGCACATGAGGCCGTACAGGAAGTTTTGTGTGGTGTCTATAAATACCCGGTCAGACAGACAGTAATCTTTCTCTCTCTCTTCTTCAGATTTCTGCTGCATGCCTTGGATACATGCTCCTAATCAGCTTACGAGCTTTCCTTGACCTACGCTTCTTTTCCTGACGTTGATCTGACTATGGCTGTCCTCAAAGTAAAATTCACCAAAACTAGAAGGGACAAATTGGCTCAGATCTTATGGATCCTCAACTGGGTTTCTGTTGTGAGTGGGATAATTCTCTTCAGCCTTGGCCTCTTTCTGAAAATAGAGATCAAGAAACGCAACGAAGTGATGGCAAAAGGGGACATTAACTCTGTCCCCAACATGTTGATCTCTGTAGGGGTCATAGCATGTATCATCAACTTTCTGGGTGGCAAAATCTGCTACGACTGCTCAGATGCCAACAAGTTCTCTCGGTGGAAACTAGTTATGCTCCCATACATCGTATGTACCTTCTGTTTTACCTTCTGCATCCTGGTGGGTGCTCTCATGTGCTATACCATGAGGAACGAGCTGGAAGAGTCTCTCTATCTGGGACTGAGGGATGCTATGAAGTTCTATAAGGACACGGACATACCTGGACGATGCTTCTTAAAGAAAACAGTGGATCTGTTACAAATTGGATTCCAATGCTGTGGAAACAATGGCTTTAGAGACTGGTTTGAAATTCAGTGGGTGTCTCCTCGTTATCTGAATATGGCTTCCAAGGAAGTTCTGGAGTAAGTATTAACTAGTCGTAAGAACAAAATTCTAGGAAAAAGCCTCATTCAAGAAGAATTTGTACTGAACAGGAAGTAAGTAACAGTCCTGTCAAAAGATCTCAAGACGCATCGACGTTAAAGAGAATATAGAATAAGAACCGCTTGTTCTCTGCCAGCAGCCAAAATATTCTGGCAGTGTTTTTCCTCCTTATAAAAACAGCATCTTGTGGCTAGAAGGCTTCTCTCAAAGGTCATTCTAGATAATTCTGGTAATGGGCCCGAATCAAGAGGAGATAGATAACTTTTCTTTGGTCACAGGCATGTTCACAAATACTCTCATAATTTAACTAATGTAGAAACCTTTACTGAATAATAGTGGGAATAACACTGTCCTGTTTCTAAATAAGAACTTTCAGAAAGAAAGGAAGCACAATCAGGTAGAAAAAGAAATAGAGCATCTTAAACTGTTCATTTTTTTTCTTAAGGTGTGAAAATGTTCTTCTTTTTTTTTTTTTTTTATGTTACTTCATATACAAATGGTAGTGCTTTTATGCCAGATCCAGTAGAAAAATGTGGTGGAGGATGGTTTGTTCACCAGTCAGGTCACAGCACTTACAAGTTAAGAAAATTTTGATCGTATTTTCTAGAAAACCAACCCAGTCATTGATAGCTTAACTACCTGTTGAACATTTTGTGTCTGTGGATAATCACAGTCACTTCCCCCTCCAGTTGTTGCCAAACTGATCATATCTTAGTAGTATAAGTGTAGGAATAAAACTGTGCTTTGCTAGCAAAATCATGTTTTACTGCACATAATTGATGAAATGACTAAAATTGCCTGTAGGAAACTGTTTCTGGTACTATTTTCATGGTTTTTTTCCATATGGAAAAAAGGCTTATGTGATTATGCTGTATATATCTGCTCGTTCATCCTGCTTGTTCAACTTTTGAAGGCAAATCTGACCATGATGCAGTAAGAATTATAAATTCCTATAATCCTCAAGAAAATACAGGCAACAAATAGAAGAGAAAAGCACTGTGAATTTTTTTGAAGGGAAAGACAGCAGATCCAGCTCATTTCCAGACATCAGAACACCTGCACAAAAAATTGCTCTTGACAAAAGTCCCCAGGAATCCAGAGTTCATTGATTCTACTGGTCACTTATTTTTGATTGCTCTAGCTGGTCCTTAGAATTTGGGGGTTTTTTTCAAGTGATTCACACTGTATGAAGTTTAAGCAATAAATTTCCCTGGGGCACTCCCTTGGCAGGACTCGGAGCACATGAGGCCGTACAGGAAGTTTTGTGTGGTGTCTATAAATACCCGGTCAGACAGACAGTAATCTTTCTCTCTCTCTTCTTCAGATTTCTGCTGCATGCCTTGGATACATGCTCCTAATCAGCTTACGAGCTTTCCTTGACCTACGCTTCTTTTCCTGACGTTGATCTGACTATGGCTGTCCTCAAAGTAAAATTCACCAAAACTAGAAGGGACAAATTGGCTCAGATCTTATGGATCCTCAACTGGGTTTCTGTTGTGAGTGGGATAATTCTCTTCAGCCTTGGCCTCTTTCTGAAAATAGAGATCAAGAAACGCAACGAAGTGATGGCAAAAGGGGACATTAACTCTGTCCCCAACATGTTGATCTCTGTAGGGGTCATAGCATGTATCATCAACTTTCTGGGTGGCAAAATCTGCTACGACTGCTCAGATGCCAACAAGTTCTCTCGGTGGAAACTAGTTATGCTCCCATACATCGTGTGTACCTTCTGTTTTACCTTCTGCATCCTGGTGGGTGCTCTCATGTGCTATACCATGAGGAACGAGCTGGAAGAGTCTCTCTATCTGGGACTGAGGGATGCTATGAAGTTCTATAAGGACACGGACATACCTGGACGATGCTTCTTAAAGAAAACAGTGGATCTGTTACAAATTGGATTCCAATGCTGTGGAAACAATGGCTTTAGAGACTGGTTTGAAATTCAGTGGGTGTCTCCTCGTTATCTGAATATGGCTTCCAAGGAAGTTCTGGAGTAAGTATTAACTAGTCGTAAGAACAAAATTCTAGGAAAAAGCCTCATTCAAGAAGAATTTGTACTGAACAGGAAGTAAGTAACAGTCCTGTCAAAAGATCTCAAGATGCATCGACGTTAAAGAGAATGTGGAATAAGAACCGCTTGTTCTCTGCCAGCAGCCAAAATATTCTGGCAGTGTTTTTCCTTCTTATAAAACCAGCATCTTGTGGCTAGAAGGCTTCTCTCAAAGGTCATTCTAGATAATTCTGGTAATGGGCCCGAATCAAGAGGAGATAGATAACTTTTCTTTGGTCACAGGCATGTTCACAAATACTCTCATAATTTAACTAATGTAGAAACCTTTACTGAATAATAGTGGGAATAACACTGTCTAAACCGTATGCTCCCTCTAAAAACAAAAGGTACCGAAGTACTCAAGGCAAAAAGCATCCTGCTGTTTAGTCATTCTGGGGTTCTAATACACACCTCACAAGGCCAAGTTGATACTAATTTCTGCTGGACCTTTGTCTCAATCAAAAAAACTGTAGAATGACCATGTTACTCACAAAATAGGCTAACTGCATGCACAATCCAAATCGCCTTTTGCTAACTTTTTTTCCAGGATGCTACACAAAGACATATCTTTCCTGTTTTTAATGGGTGAATTAGCTACCTCCAAATTCCCATTATATTGAGCTGATGATGGAAAGAAAAAAGGATGGTACTACCAATATATCCCACAGTCATGCTAAACACTGAAAGATCTTTCTTCTTCAAGATCTTAGACTTTACGAATCCCAGTTCAAACCTGAACGTTCACGTGTGAGAAACTGCCACCACCATGCATACTGCATAAAAAAGGAGGAAAAAACCTTGAATATTTTTGTTGGTGCTTCACACGATGTAGCAATTGTGAAGTTATATGCTCAAAAAGAAGAATCTAGTAATTCTTTTCTTCAGACAATAGAAAAGGTAACTAAAAATTTTTTTAAAAATAGACAATCCAATATGTAATAATTCTTCTAAAGCTGAAAAAATAGTCTTCACTGGTGAGAGCAAAGTAGCTATAAGAAAAAAAAAAGTCTTCACTGGTGAGAGCAAAGTAGCTATATGTACCTGAGAAAGACAAACACAAAAATCTTGACTGGCATTTGTCAAGTCTTCTGTTCAGTTCAACTCAAAAATCAGTGACAGTAAAGCCAGAAGAAGGGAGGCCAAAGATCTTTTTTTCATAGAATTTGCAACTTGAAACTGCCATTACAGCAAAGCATAAATACAAAGCTGCTGCAAATATAGCAGAGGACAGGACTTGGGAGGAATAGGGACAGGAGGGTGCCACCATGCATAAGGGCAGTTGGCTGTGGACATAAAGCAAGCTTTAGAACAAGTGTTCTTGAGAGAGAAGCTGGAAAGCACCAGCGACACAAAGCAGACCGACCCAAGAGGTCTTTTAAATCCTGGTTCTACACTGATAAGTGACACGACAAGAAAGATGGTCCACAGCAACTTAAGAGTAGTATCTTATTGTGAGGACAAAAGTAAAATATACTACTTTTTATTTCTATGAGACATGCAGAAACAGTAACATTTTACCCAGGGTCTTGGCTAAAATCCATTTTCTCCTGCAGGGTCCCCTGTACTTTGCCATTATTTTGAAAATAGACTGTCAGTTAATTTTTGCCACATGTAGGCAGAAGATGCCGGTGAAATGCATGAGGGAAGTAGTTACACTGCATCATTTCTTTTACTGTATATAAACTGGAGAAGTCCATCTTGATTGTTAGAATCCAAGTTGGTGCTATATAACCAAATTACACTATGATTTCCAAAAATCTGGTAGTGAAACATTTGATATGAAATTGTTGGAAGCAAAGTCCAGCTGGTTACGTTCTCCAGGACGGAGAAGGAACCAAATACTTTTCTTGGTTTCATCTTGTACTGTGTGTCAATTAGTACTTGGTAGATTAAGAGGCAAAGCAGTTGAGAACTGACATACTGTCAACTCACACATAACCTTCATGAAACTGAACTTTTCACCTTCCTTGATAATCCTCTTTTCCCCTCTGTCTTCTGTATCTCCATTGCCAGCATCCCAATGTGACAAGAAATGGAGAGAGTCAATGGGATGGGTAGGAGAAAAAGGCAGGTGACAGCGGTGCAATCCTATCCCTGCTTTGGTTGGGTAAAAATCATCTTTCTATAGTCTCAAAAGCAAGTTTTGCTTTACAATCCCACAACACCTTCAAGCTGCAACAAGAAATGGCAGTGAATGTCTCACTCCCTCAGCTCTGTCACCAGGGCCTCCCTTCTAACCGTACCAAGATACATCATTCTTTAATTTGCCACTAGTAGAGGAAACACGATGGCAGAGGGACATAACCAAAGTCTGGAAACTGCTATTTTTGGCAGCAGAAAGAAGATTCCTCTTTATAACATGTGGCAGGAAGAAAAAAATATAATTAAATTGATGCTTGGGATCAAATGAAAAGCCTAGGACCTCGTTTAAGAAACTGTATTTTAACGATTTTAGATGCTGTACTATATTTGGGTCATGTCACTGAAATACACAGGGCATTTTGCTGGCCCATAGCAACGTGCTGACCCTCTGGCTCCCTCCCTTGTTTCCTTCCCAGTGAGTGGTTTTGCCTGTGTCCGTTACGCTGTCTGCACACCTGAGCCTGCTTTCAGTAGATTGTTTGGGTTCTTTTACATTGGTTTCATTGGGTTGCTGTTACCTGGAGTGTGATGGCCACAAAGTGAAGAGCTGGACTTTAAGATGGAGAGGAATTCATGCTTAACCCTTTCCTAGGTGGGAAATGGCAGATGAGCTTTCTGACTTACTTGGAAAGATCTTCGAAGAAGATAGTTTTGACTAAATGTTAAACAAAACATGCCACCACTACTCTCCCCCCTCCCCTCCAAAAAAAAGGGAAAAAAAAAAAAGGAAGGAGGTTGCATTTGGCAGACCCACAGTAACAAAATGAAGGCGATTTTTCTGCCATCCCAGCACAGCCACAAACACTGACCTTCCTAGCAGCTTCTTTCTTTTGAAGGATACATTTAGTCCCAAAAAAGCCTTAAGAACACTGGACCACAGAGTTTCTGCTACTTCTCTTCACCTGATGACTTCCCTTTAATTTAGATCATCTGTAATGGAACAGGAAAATATGATGTGTAAACTTCAATACATGAGGATAAGTTTTGGAAAATATTAAAAATTCTACTATTAGCAAATGGTGAAAGCTGGGTATCTAAGAGAAAGTTGTCTTCCCTCTCTTCTGGCTCCCTGGCAAAGGCTGAAGGGCATGGACTTCATTAAAATAGGGCATGGTTCTCACCTGTGGGGAGCATGAAAACTGATACATGCTGAGGAGCTACTTCCCCAAAGGGTGAGAGCATCTTTCAACATCTTACATGCTCTCCAGTTTCTGGAAGATCTATTTGTCTGAAGAACCTGCTTGGAAACAGAAGCCCTTGCAAGGATGCTAAAGAGCAGGGAATAGAAGGAAAATAGGTCTTGAGGATTCATTTAACTGTTCCAAAAAACTCTCAATTAATCTGAGACTCTTTTCTCTTTCCATCTATGATATTTTTTTTTCTTCCTCCTGTTTCTTTTTCTTTTCCCACTTGTTTTTCTTCTGATCTTACAAGGAAGGGAAAGGAGTATTTTTTAGCAATGAATACAAACAGTTTCAAAAGTTACAAAAAGTATAGTTACAAGAATCATAGAGTCATCTAGTTTGGAAGGGACCTTTAAGATTGAGGTTAACCATTAACCTAACACTGCCAAAACCACCACTAAACCGTGTCCCTCAGCACCATGCCTACTGTGTTTTAAAGGCCTCCAGGGAAGGCAATGCCACCACTTCCCTGATCCAATGTTTGATAACCCTTTTGGTGACGACATTTTTCCTAATATCTGATCTAAGCCTCCCCCGGCGCAACTTGAGGCCATTTCCTCTTGTCCTATTGCCTGTGTCTTGGGAGAAGAGACCAACCCCCAGCTCACTACAACCTCCTCTCAGGGAGTTGTAGAGAGGATGTCTCCCCTCAGCCTCCATTTCTCTAGGCTGAACAACCCCAGCTCCCTCAGCAGCTCCTCATAAGACCTTTGCTCTAGACCTCTCTAGAAGTAGAAGCTCCTTTGTGAAGTAGTCTCAAAACATGTGCCGAACCAGCCAAACCAGGGTACAATGACAAAATGCCAGCAGACAATTTCCAGTGGTTCCTGTGGCATGCAAGGTTGTTGTATTAGGTTCTTAATTAATGCTTGTATTGAAAATCAGTCCAGAAGTAGAGAAACACAGGATTTCTGGGGCCATAACTTCCATTAGAGTTCCACCAAAAACAAGTTCAGTAATTGTCTACTATTTTCAGTGCAGATACCTAAAAAGGCAACATCTCCATGAACATTGAACCCACGTCTTGCACACACGGTACCAAGAACCACCTGAGACACCGTGCTGATACCACAGTTAAGAAATACAGCAAATAAAAAATGTAGTTTTCCTGAAGTAAGCAACTTTTCCAGTTGGAGACGTATTCCCATTTTCCTTTTGTTACTTTAGAGAGGCCTATATCGCAGCATCACAGATGCTACCTGCTGCTGCCACCAGATGTGTAACACCCAGATTTCTGTCCTCTTGCAGCCGTCTAAAGAGCAACGTGGATGGCAAGTTCTTGGTGGATGGGGTACCCTTCAGCTGCTGCAACCCCAGCTCCCCGCGGCCCTGCATCCAGTACCAGCTGACCAACAACAGCGCCCACTACAACTACGATTTTCTGACGGAGGAGCTCAACATCTGGGTGAAGGGGTGCAGAGAGGCCCTGCTGGATCACTACACGGCCATTATGAGGTCCATCGGCATCGCGGCGTTGCTTATTTGGTGGTTTGAGGTGAGTCTCATAAAAATGGTCTGGGGCAGATTCACCAGAGACTTCCTGCTCTCTAGGATGGGCAACAACTACGAGAAGTGCCTTGGTATCTAATATAAAGCCCACGAGCACTTCAGGAATGTTGTGGGGCTTCCTTTAGGACAGACAACTTTCTCAAAGTCCCCAGAGTAAAAGCAAATCTCATTGAAAATGAGAACTATTAGAAATTCTGTGCATTTACACAGCTTTTTCAATCGATTGGGGCGTATTCCCTTCCCTGAAGCATTTATGGGATCAGATACAGGATGATACATGCAGCGACACAACTGCAAGGAAATTAGGTGAGAAGGTCTGAGGGTTGTTTCAGGCCAGTTTTAACAAAGAATATATAAAATGTGAGCAGGCCTTTGGCTGAATATGCTAATTTCATTTATAGTAAAAATTGAGCATAAATATTAATGTCTCAGAGCCTCCTTTTTCCATTCCATAGCTCCACCATATAGACAGTGCGTGCAAACATGGCATACCTTTTACATGTAGATTAGACTGCTTATTATGCAAATCAAGATAAGCATATCCCAGGCAAGCACATACACCTGCAAAGATGCCATCTTCCTGCTGACACCTGCAAAGAAGGTTGTCTGGATGTTGTCATCCACAGGGAAAGGACCCCCTAATGGCATTGGCTAAAATATGGGTTTCTTCCCTCTTTAGGTTTTACTTTTCTTATTATTGCTCTATTGCATAAATATTAGCATAATAGTTCACAGCAGTTCTCAAGCAGTGCCAGATGGAATGGTGGTGCCAGGAACAGCAGGCTTTTGGCAGCTCATGAAAAAGCTGCGGGCTGGCTCTCTGTCCTCCCTGACACGCCGGGCAAAGAGCAATGAGAGTGGGGCTTTCTCCTAAACTTATACTTGAGCCTCTACTATAGGCTGTCTTTAATGCATTGGTGTATAGGACACGTACGGCTTACGTATGTGTGATTAAACTCCTTGGAGGAAATACCAATTTAATCAAGGTTAGTGGAAAAAAAAAATCCACAGAAATTAAGACACTACAATGTAATATTTTTTTTCCCAGTGACTGATGGTTCCATGACTTGATCATCCAAGTCACAGGAGATAGGACAAGGGGAGGTTTAGATTGGATATTAGGAAACATTTCTTCATGGAAAGGGTTATCAAGCATTGGAATAGGCTGCCCGTGGAAGTGGTTGAGGCACCATCCCTGGAGGTGTTCAAAAGATGGGTTGACATGGTCCTCAGGAATATGGTTTAGTAATTTTTATTTCCTATTTCTTATTTATTTTTTGGTCAGAGTTAGGTTGATGGTTGGACTAGATGATTGTTAAGGTCCCTTCCAACCTAGACAATTCTATGATTCTATCCATTCTGCATCAATTAGTTGTAGTCTCTGCTGCTGCAGTGCTCCCAATAGTAGGTGTTTATGTGCTAATAACATGTAGGTGTGAATGCTACCAGAAGAATGGAGAGAGAATCAATCAGTCTCTCCCTGGCATTTTTCTTTCTGAAAAAATGTAATTAATTGGGAGAGCAGTCAGATATATTGCTGGGATAAAGAATTTGTCTGCTTTACTCAACATTAATTAGTAGGCCTGTAAATAGACAAGTCAGCAAGCTGACTCAGGGGTAGGAGTGAGGCTGTAAGTTAAACTCTCCTGTTTAACCATTAACTGTTTTTCCAGGTCTCTGTGCTTATCGGTGTCCGGTACCTGCAAACAGCAATGAAGAATGTCCTTCTGCTGGGAGATCTGGAGGGCGAGTCCGACGGTTGGTTACTAGAAAACAGCTTTGTGGAAACTGCCAAATACAACATCAATATCATTAAGAACCTCGGCAAAGCCAATCAGATCTCCACCGTCTCAGGCATGAACGACCCCAACATTGACGTTCAAAGCACAAACTGTGGCAAAACCAATGTTACAACAAAATCCATCCCAGCAGCCAGCTAGGTAAGTCCTCCAAGGAGGGACATCACACGTGTAGCTTTGACATATTACTGTCACCAGATTTTTCACTGATGGGGGAAAAAACAGGTGGTGAACCCAATAAGACAACTGAACAGAGCACGGACTGGTGACAGCTCCAAAAATGTTGGTATTTCTTTGACTGGGCGCATTTTTACTCATTCTTTTGAAATCGCTGATTTTCACTCCTGCACAAAACCAACTTTTGGAATTTTATTTTCCTCTCTTTTTCTCCCTTGCTTACAGACTTCTATCATGGTCCAAATACATCAGAATAATCATTATGCACGACCAAATGTTCCAGATAGGGGTACTCTACATCTACTAACCTGCAGATCGGTCTACTATGTACCAACAGAGTCTGTCATTGCATCTGTAGAAATCCCAGCAGCAGGGAAACCCCCAAAGGAAATCCCCAAAGGAAATCCCACCAGATAAAGAGACCAAAAAAAAGACAAAACCTGTGAAATGAAAACTCTGTTAGTCCAAGTTAGGATAGAGGAAGTTTTTGCCCAATTATACATATTTTCCAGCCCTTCTAACAGAACCTACCAGCCAGGTGAAACTAGGTTGGAGACAATGAAAGTAACATAATGTGTTTAACTTTTTTTTTTTCCCAAAATAGTGTGAATTATCTCCTAATTTTTCCCCGCTCCGTAGTTCAGAGAAAGCTGCCAAACCTCCCTGAAGGTCCATGGCTACTGCTGAAAGGAGTTCTGGGCTCAAGAAAACTAACTGATAGCTCATACCAGGATATCTGAAATTTCAAGTAGCACGTGACAGCACAAGTTTTAATGCAAGCAGATACTTGCTGTGAAACTAATATTGACGATCCTAGGTGCTGTAGAGCTCCTCATTTCCAAAGCACTTACACAGATCCAGGGGGTGGAAGATAGGGATTGTTTGGAACCGATGAAGACAAAGATCAATGGATCTCCCATCACATTCCTGGTACAGTGCTCAGGAACGTTGTCAATGCTTGGAGTAAAAGCCTTCTGCAGCCAAGACACTTGTAGTTACCGATACAGAATAAAGGATAAAAGACCAAATGAAGTATTTTACTTGTTACTGTTGTGAATACTACATTGTTTGACCGTAACTCTGGATGGTTTGTGCATTCTTCGTGCATAATCAAGTAAAAGAAGTTCTATCACTGGGATATTCAAAGCAGAACTATTCCTGCTTTTGAAATTGCATGAAAGTAACAGTAAGAATTCAAAATTCCTTCACCTGTCTAAACAATGTTGTTTTCCATAACACTAGAATAAGCAAAAATTCTACTGTAAGAAGATACTGTAAATAAAGTGTGTGATGTAAAAACCTATACTGTAATTCAAGCAGGTTATAGACACAATCGTTATTTTAAATGCAATTGCTTCACTGCTTAAAACTTTAGGCATATCCTTAAGTATGTTAAAAATAAAAAAGGACAGGTGGGATCTGTCTACAGCAGCAGCTTGTAGCGGGTGTTTTGCAAAAGGCACATAAGACGCCTTTAAAACAGATCATTAAAAAATAGTTTTTCCTGGAATCCTCCTGCTTCCAGGAAACAGCAGTTTGGGACTTGGTCTGACACAGAGGGTATTGGTATCACTGCGTTTTAATAAAGCTCAGTGGACATCTTTTTCTATGAATTTGCATATTTATTTTTTAAACCCATTCATGTTTTTGATATCCAAAACACCACGAGGAGCTTCAGATTTCAATTTCTCACAATTCAATTCTACGTTGTCTGAAAAACTGCTTCTCTTTGCTTGTCAACTCCCTGACAGCTCAATCAGGTGTCCCCCAATGCTTGCTGTAAGATATAGCTGACCATCATTCCTCATTTATTCCCTCCATATCATTCCTGATTTTACAATCCTCCATTATAATCTCTCTTAGTCCCATCTTTTCAAGTCAAAGAAGCTGCTATTTAACCTTTTCTTCTATGGAGAAGTTGTTTCACACCTTTGATAATTTTCATCACTCTTCTCCATTTATTATTTTTAATTGAAAACGCTGTGTAGAGCTGAACGCATCATCAACTAACTAGCTCTTCTGTTCTTTTCCTAAGAATTCCCATAATTGCTTGCCCTTTTGACTGTTTCTGGGCATTGAGATAGTATTTTTATAGATAATTCTGTGAAAATGTTAAGAAGGTCTTTGCTGTGGATATAGGTGGGAGCCCCGGCAACTGAGGGGGCAAACCCCGTCCTGGGGGGCATCAAGGACAGTAAGACCAGCTGGTCAAAAAAGGTGATCATCCCACTGTTTTCAGGGTTGGTGCAGCCTCACCTTGAACACTGTGTGCAGTTCTGGGCCCCACCACAATTTAAGAAGGATGTGAAGATCCTTGAAGACATCCAGGAGAGCAACAAAGCTGGTGGAAGGGCTGGAAGGAGTGTCCTGTGAGGAGCGGCTAAGGACTTTGGCTTGTCTGGTTTGGAGAAAAGGAGGCTCTAGGTGAGGCCCCTCTATGATGGATTTATCAAGAATCCACTCCAAAAAATAGATTTAGAAGGAAGAGTGAACTCAAATGATCATCCAGCCCGAGCATCTCTGTAAAGACAGAACTTTCATGCAGCAGTTGCTGTAGCACAGGAGCATGAAGAGCAGAGGAGCAGCTGCCCAATTTCCCTGCCCCCCCCCCCTCATTGATTTTCCTCCAAAGAGAACACATTTCACCACAAAGGACTAGTTAATATTTGGCAAGCCAGCCTGTGGCGGGCAGTGGGACCACTTGTGGCATTCCCTGCCTCTCCACACATTGCCCAGGGAACAGCTGTCCTCTTGGCAGTTACCAGTAATTACTGGTAATTAGATTATTAATTTCTCTATCCTGTCTGGGCATTTGGAGTCCCCATGGAAACAGATGTATTACAAAAAGGTGACAGCTCATTTCACAGCAATTGGGGTAAGTTTTACTTCACTAAATAACTGCTTTCTTTGCTGTGGGTGTCTGAGGTTCCTCAGAGAGCGGGAGCACCCCCTGCTCCTCAGGCTCTCCTGACACCAGCAGGGCTTTCCCAGAGCATTTAACCTTGCAGCCACTGGATGAAGAAAACAAACCCAGGGAGCAGCCCAGACTCCCTCTTTAATTCTCCGTAATTTGTCAAGACAAAGATGGCATTAGCAAGACAAGCCTTTAAGCCGGAGCATCTGCTCAGATACAGAAATAAATACGATTTGGGGGACACTTCTTATCCTATTTGTTATGAATGCTTAATCCAGTCAGAATTAATAACAATACGTTGGTGCAACAGCAGCTTCCAGAGTGAGGAGCTCACCTATGCATAAAGCCACCTGCTTTATAAGCAGTTCTTTGTAAAAAAAACCTGAAACCTTTTACTATTCAGTTTCTGGTGAAGGCACTTCACCCGTACCTGACAGTTCCTGTAGAAACTGCCATTAAGATGCTCTTCCTCTAAAGCTTTCTGATTAGCACTGAAAATACTGATCATAAAGAAAAATTACTAATAATATACAAACACAGCACATTTAGAGTTTCATTTATATTTTAAAAATGAACTCAGCACATTTCCTTAGAAGCTAGAAACCCCCTTTCCACAAGGATTTTTTTAAATTGCATTGGGATACATTTCGTTTTGCCACTTGTAGTAAAGGCCAGCACGATTCCCAGGAAGAAAAATGGGATGAAAGAATTGTTAGCATCTGGAGTGGCTTATTCCTCAGGGTAACCTTCCAGCAGGAGCTCTGGGATGAGCCCTCTCCAAGCACGAGTCTCTACTCGGTACTTGTCACTGATGTCACACGTGGGGCACTACTGAGAGGAAGGAGAGGTAAGGTTCTGCTGAAACAGACTGACCACAGATCTTCACAGACACAGAAACGATGATGAAATCCACAGTCCCCAGTACCTGCTTCACAACCTTCCCTCGAGGCTCATTCACTCCAGCATGGAGCCAGAAAACCTCCTAAAATTAAGTCTGATGGATTCTAAGTTGTTTGACAACCTGCAATTAAACAGCACAAACTACACTCCTCATTTCGACACTGATCTCATGAAATAAAAAAGAAATCTTGGGCCCGGTTTTAATGTTTTATGTTTAACTTCACACCTGGTCTCCTCTTACTCATCATTACACACAGTAACGTATATAATTCCCTTGGAATTTGGGCTCACTCTCCTCCAAGGCACATTTCCTTTCCACACCTCTTTCACGTACACTTGGAACCCCATGGAATGCCCGTTCAGTGAAACGTACCCAGGATTAGAGGGTCTTCACAGACACAGACATTGAAAGGATGATGAAATCCACAGTCCCCAGTACCTACTTCACAACCTTTCCTTGGGGCTCATTCACTCCAGTGTGGAGCCAGAAAACCTCCTAAAATTAAGTCTGATGGATTCCAAGTTGACAACCTGTAATTAAACAGCACAAACTACACTCCTTCTTTCGACACTGATCTCATGAAATAAAAAAGAAATCTTGGGCCCAGTTTTAATGTTTTATGTTTAACTTTACACCTGGTCTCCTCTTACTCACCATTACACACAATAACGTATATAATTCCCTTGGAATTTGGGCTCAAGTTGACAACCTGTAATTAAACAGCACAAACTACACTCCTTCTTTCGACACTGATCTCATGAAATAAAAAAGAAATCTTGGGCCCAGTTTTAATGTTTTATGTTTAACTTTACACCTGGTCTCCTCTTACTCACCATTACACACAATAACGTATATAATTCCCTTGGAATTTGGGCTCACTCTCCTTCAAGGTGCATTTCCTTTCCACACCTCTTTCACGTACACTTGGAACCCCATGGAATGCCCGTTCAGTGAAACGTACCCAGGATTAGAAATATCTGCCTTTGAGAAACTTGTCTGGGAATGAATTTTCAATATCATCCATTTGTTTTCTGTATCAACCCCCAAATTTAGCCTACCTGCAAAACACAGGTAAAAACGAATAAAAGAGATTGTGCCACAGAAATTAAACACCTTTCATTTTTGAAGAAAGTATCTTTCAAGATCTTGTCAAGTAACAGGTTAAAAGAACTTGAGTAACAACCTTAGATGTTGTATCACGAATCTGACTAGTTTAGGATGGAGATCTATTCAAGGATCTTGTCTAGAGACTGAAGTGGATTTCAGCCACAAAGCTTCTTACTAAGCAATCATCTTCACAACGTTTTTGGTAGCAGACTTTATCTACCCTTACCTTTTACCTTTCCAGGAATTGGTCCTTAAAACCCCTTTGCTTTGCCTTTGAGAAACTTGTCTGGGAATGAATTTTCAATATCATCCATTTGTTTTCTGTATCAACCCCCAAATTTAGCCTACCTGCAAAACACAGGGCTTTGAGAAACTTGTATGGGAATGAATTTTCAATATTATCCATTTGTTTTCTGTATCAACCCCAAATTTAGCCTACCTGCAAAACACAGGTAAAAACAAATAAAAGAGATTGTGCCACAGAAATTAAACACCTTTCATTTTTGAAGAAAGTATCTTTCAAGATCTTGTCAAGTAACAGGTTAAAAGAACTTGAGTAACAACCTTAGATGTTGTATCACAAATCTGACTAGTTTACGATGGAGATCTATTCAAGGATCTCGTCTAGAGACTGAAGTGGATTTCAACCACAAAGCTTCTTACTAAGCAATCATCTTCACAACATTTTTGCTAGCAGACTTTATCTACCCTTACCTTTTACCTTTCCAGGAATTGGTCCTTAAAACCCCTTTGCTTTGCTAAGAACAGACAGAGGGAGCAGCAGGACGTGCCAACGGCCAGCGGCTTGGAACAGAAAGAGAGGCAAGAAGTACTGGCCATTTCTATGGAAAAGATTTCTTGGCTGCTTGCTCAGCTCTGTGATACAGCACTTTTTTAAAGGAAAAAATAAAAATAAAAAAATTTGGTATTACACAGCACATTAGACCGCCACCACAAAACTGTTCCCTTTCTAGAGGTTAGGTGTCTGGCTTAGAGAACACCCCGTTTTTGTGAGGCTACAAATCCACCCAACTCACTCAATGATCAGTTCAAGGACACCAAATATTAAATTTAAGACTACTTAAATCACAACATTTTTGCTAGCAGACTTTATCTACCCTTACCTTTTACCTTTCCAGGAATTGGTCCTTAAAACCCCTTTGCTTTGCTAAGAACAGACAGAGGGAGCAGCAGGACGTGCCAACGGCCAGCGGCTTGGAACAGAAAAAGAGGCAAGAAGTACTGGCCATTTCTATGGAAAAGATTTCTTGGCTGCTTGCTCAGCTCTGTGATACAGCACTTTTTTAAAGGAAAAAATAAAAATAAAAAAATTTGGTATTACACAGCACATTAGACCGCCACCACAAAACTGTTCCCTTTCTAGAGGTTAGGTGTCTGGCTTAGAGAACACCCCGTTTTTGTGAGGCTACAAATCCACCCAACTCACTCAATGATCAGTTCAAGGACACCAAATATTAAATTTAAGACTACTTAAACTTAAGACTTCTTTCGCAAATTGAGGCAGACACTGCAGGAATTTGCCCCCGTGAAATACTAGGACAAGTTTCAAGTGGAATATTTCTTTAAATAAGAAAAAGCCTGTCCCCATTACTCACGGTTACAAGGATACAGACCACAGGGAGAACTGGAATTGTTTGCCAACCATTTAGTAACTCTTCCACCATTCCACACTGACAGATGCTCCCCTAATGCTCTCCTAAAATGAACTGGGAAGTGTCAAAGCGCCTCCAAATAAAAACTGAATAATCTATGAGAAGTTACTTTATTTCCTTTTTTAAATATACATATACAAGATATTTTATTTCAAAAGCACAAGAACATTATACAAGTTTCAAATTTACATTTTTGCAATTAAAGATACCAATATGTGCATTATCAAAGAACTTCTTCTGTCAGCTTGGATGGAAACAGAAACCAGTGGCGTAAGCGTCTTGCGGTCACTAAATACAGATTATCTGTCCCCATTACTCACGGGTACAATGCTACGGACCACAGGGAGAACTGGAATTGTTTGCCAAGCATTTAGTAACTCTTCCACTGTTCCACACCAACAGATGCTCCCCTAATGCTCTCCTAAAATGAACTGGGAAGTGTCAAAGCGCCTCCAAATAAAAACTGAATAATCTATGAGAAGTTACTTTATTTCCTTTTTTAAATATACATATACATAAACCTTCCCTTTCTAGAGGTTAAGTGTCTGGCTTAGAGAACACCCCATTTTTGTGAGGCTACAAATCCACCCAACTCACTCAATGATCAGTTTAAGGACACCAAATATTAAATTTAAGACTCCTTAAACTTAAGACTTCTTTCACAAATTGAGGTAGACACTGCAGGAATTTGCCCCTGTGAAATACTAGGACAAGTTTCAAGTGGAATATTTCTTTAAATAAGAAAAAGCGTGTCCCCATTACTCACGGGTACAAGGATACAGACCACAGGGAGAACTGGAATTGTTTGCCAACCATTTAGTAACTCTTCCACCATTCCACACTGACAGATGCTCCCCTAATGCTCTCCTAAAATGAACTGGGAAGTGTCAAAGCGCCTCCAAATAAAAACTGAATAATCTATGAGAAGTTACTTTATTTCCTTTTTTAAATATACATATACAAGATATTTTATTTCAAAAGCACAAGAACATTATACAAGTTTCAAATTTACATTTTTGCAATTAAAGATACCAATATGTGCATTATCAAAGAACTTCTTCTGTCAGCTTGGATGGAAACAGAAACCAGTGGCGTAAGCGTCTTGCGGTCACTAAATACAGATTATACTCACAGTGAACAAAACTGCATAGGAATTTATGAAATGAAAGATGACCACGCCAGTCCGTGAACGATACGGGAGCCCATTTGCTAAATCAGGAGGTGCAAACGTACAGAAAGATGCCACTTTCCTCTCCCACTTCTTCAGCTACAAAGAGATTTCTAGAGCCTTAAACGTGAGCTCACCTGCTCCGACCAGCTCCTGTCCTGGTGTACTACAATTCAGGCAGAAAACAAAACAAAGTGATCTCACTGCAGATTCGGTAACGGAATTTTTGGATCAGTGAAGTGCAAAGTAACAGAAAGTTTTTGATAACTGAATAGGTAAATATCAGAGAGAAACAGTAAGTGAATCCAGTCTTGGTATCAACGCGCCAGACGTTTGCTCCTCTTAATCCAAGCTTTCTGTTGGTAAATAGTGTTTCGATGACCTTAGAAATGGCCAGTGCGTGCAAGTTTCCACGACAACTGCTCTTCGAAATCCCGTGTGCGTTTCAAATACATTTTAGGGAATTAATGTTTGTCTTTTAAAAGAGTTTCATATTCAGGTTTAAAATCGGAAAGAATCAAAATAAGGAGAATGGTCTTAATTGCAAGAAACAGAATACCTGAAAAATATACCAGAGCCAACTATTTCTATCACCAGGGAAGGATTATAGCACAAGTTAGAAAAAGGTATTTGAAATCAGAACAATATTGGAGTTCATTGGTATTCCATTTTCAGATGAGTTATGGTGCTGCTCAGTGCACTCATACGTCCTCTAAAAACTTTTTAAAACGAAGGGAACAATGATATTTAATGCTAAATCATTATTTGTGATTCTACTACCTCTCATACAATCAGTAGCAAAAAAATAAAGAAGAAATCATACAAAATCACGCTCTCAGACATTAATTTGAAAACCTCCCCTTGCTACCTTTATTAAAATGACACAAAAGAATCCAAATAGCGAAGGGGTGGGGAAATTTAGAGTACTGACAACTTCCAACTTTCACACAGAAATGGGATTTCCTGGGAAAGCATTTTTACCCCTCACGTTACAAATTTTCTTGTGTATATTATGGTTAAAATATAGAAAACAGAACAGCAGACATTTAGAACTGAAGCACAATCACGCACCATTGAGAGAGAGTCCGACCACGACGTGCTATGAACTACTGAAGGGCCAAGAGACAGACTCAGCCCCTTCTTTCCCTTTTCTGCTCTCACCGGCACCAAACGGCTGAGCGTGCCCCCGGAACACACCCTCTCCTTTCTGCAGACAGGGCTCCAAACAAGAGCGACAGAAGATGAAGAGTGGAAAATGCCTCAGGGATGGGCAAACAAAACTGATTTCTGATTCTAAAACTTGCTGCTTTTGGGCCTTGCTTTTAGTCCAGCGATAGCTTCGCAGGTCTTTGACTTTACGGAAGTCTCTGGCTCTTGCACACCTTTGCAGAGCAACACTACAACTACCTATCCGTATGGTCACATTCAGTTCTTGGGGAAAATCTCAGAAGAAACACTGTAAAAGAAGTAAAACTAACCACAACCTAGGCAAATGGTGTAGCTCTAGACCTGTGAGGATATACAACATTAATAGAGGACAAATTCATTAGATAAAGTGCAGTTCTGGCAATGCAAAAAGCACAGACTTTATTTTTTTGATACAACAAGCAAGATGGTAATTCCCCCCATGCACTTTCTATCCCACACTTCTTTAAGGAGCTCATTAATGAAAGCTCTTCCTCAAATGGCAGGATGTAGCTGAATGCAGGCTGCTCTGTACAACTTCATGTTTGCTGTGCCTGTTGCTATGGATTACTAAAGGCCTGGCTCCACTTCCACTCCAATGTTATGCCACAAATCTTGGCCTACTTAAAAGCTTCACTAAGCTTGGGAAAAGAACCCAGGAAGAAAGTAAAGGAGGCTTTTCCACAGTAACACCATCTCGGTACATTCTCAAGGCATGGAAGGGACAGCAACGTGGTGTGTGCCCTGAAGCACAGGATCTGTCAAAACACATGAAGCAATCGCAACTTCACGAAAAAGTGGAAACACTTCTTGACTTGAATGTTCAGTAATTGAACCCGAATGCTGAATGAACCTCGAGCTGAATGTTTTCCTCTCTTTTGGGGGAAGAACAAAAGAAATAAAATTTAAAAAAAAAGAGAGCAGAACATATGATGTGAGATTGTTTCAACGTGTCAGTAATACATATGTCCAACCTAGAGAACCCATCGATCGTGTCCAAGCTACAGAATCCACTCAAGAGTAGATAATTTACTGCCACCCTCCTTTCCTTTTCCAAAGCACTGCCAAAGGTCAAAGTTTTCACTAAAATCAAGAGACTCAGAGCAGTTGCCAGTTGAATCCCAAGAAGATCTGATTCGTTTCCTGGCTCCTGGCAATCTCCTCTATGATGCAGTGCTGCTGCCACAGCAGATGCAGCTTCCGGTAACGCTCCCGACATAAGTGCAGGGGGTTGCCTCTTCTGCACAGAAGAAAAGAGGAGAATATCCAATGAGCACAGCAGAACAGCAACTGAAAAGCTCTTCCATGGACAGTCTAGCACCGACACTCTTAACGACAGCCAGAAAATACGAAATCCTTGTAGGAACACCAATTCCAGCAAGTCTGGAAATGAAAAAGTAAAATTCTACACACAACAAGCAACAACTGCTGTTTCCAAGCCGACATTTCAGCAATGGCAGTTGCACGTTTCTGATGAAAGGCAGACAAAGTATTCTTGAGAAAAGTAAGAAAGTTTAACAGTACCAAAAAAGTGTATTTTTCCATTATGAATGACCAATTCATGACTGGAAATGCCATCCAAATCTGAAGTTAAACAAGTTCACCTGGCCAAGATCCATATTACAGTGCTGCACATGCAGCAGGAGAACACGTTCGATGACTGCTGTTTCCAAGCCAACATTTCAGCAATGGCAGTTGCACGTTTCTGATGAAAGGCAGACAAAGTATTCTTGAGAAAAGAAAGAAAGTTTAACAGTACCAAAAAAGTGGATTTTTCCATTATGAATGACCAATTCATGACTGGAAATGCCATCCAAATCTGAAGTTAAACAAGTTCACCTGGCCAAGATCCATATTACAGTGCTGCACATGCAGCAGGAGAACACGTCCAAGGGGTGTAAGAAAGAAAAAGGTACCAAAATGGAAATTTAGAAAGACATAAAATCAAACATTTACTTACTTCAGACCTGGATCTGTTTCTCCATATTCATCCAAGTAGGGAGCAGGATATAAGCAGCCCCTGGTTTTACCTTCAATGAGGACAACTTTGCATTCCCTGATCCTTAAGGAAAAAATAGCTACAGTTAAAACGCAAGACAACTCCCAGCAGGTTCTTAACTTTTGGGTGAGCGATATTTTAGGTCAAAGCAATGTTTCTTCATGTCAGACAAGAAGAATCAAGTGCTTTGACAAGGTTGTGAATTTTGACCTTCAAGTATTTCCCTTTTAATTAAACACATTAATTAAATTCTAGCGAGCTACTTACTTGAGGAACATACAGACTCCAGCTCCACATTGAAGAGCATGAGAAGTACAGGCTCCCAGCTCCTCCCCGTTCACCAGTTCCTGACAACAAGTATTCTGGGAACACAGCATAGCCCCACAGAATAAACACAGCACTGGGTGCTTCTGTTCATCATCAGAAGACCGCGGGCATCTAGAAGCATAACCAGAATGTTACTGCAGGAATTAAAACTTCAAAAGCAATGTTAACTACAGATAATGTTCCAACAACAACAAAACCCCCAACCCACAAAGAAAGACAGACCAAAGACACACTATGTCATAATGGTATTTCAGGTATCTGTCTCCTTTGGCTATGTTTTTACATTGCTTGAAACATTTCATCTGCCAAGATACCTGCTTTGAGCAGGAGGCTGGAGTAGATGATCTGCTGATGCTACTTCTAACCAGAATTACCCTATGATTCACTCTTCCTGGCATAAACCAGTGCCAACCTTCTGGGCTTCTTGTGTCCAGTGCAAAAAATAATTTTCAGACTTATGGCCAAACCAAAGGCACATTGCACTGGTGAAAAACAACCAGCAGATCAAGTTATAATCATTGTTTATTTATTTCTATCATACACAAGGGATTTCGTTTAGTTAGCTGTTGTGTTTCAGATTTAAAATGAACATGTGTTAGTATTGGCCAGTGCCTTCACTTCTGCAAAATATTCCTGTACATAGTTTTAACACCAGTTACAGTAACTGCAGGAATACAAAAGTGACTAAAAGTGACAAAACAAACAGGAAGACAACTAAATATGCTGTATCTTACCTAAACTGAGAGGCTTGGTTCAGAAGGCAGCTATAGTCTTCAGGAAGCTCTATTAAACTATTTCTTTTCCTAGGATATCTGGGTAAGCGAAAAAGAGCTATTATGAGAATAATAAAGATCGCAGCAAAGAACAAAACAGATAGCTGTAAATTCCTGCTGAGCTTTCCGGCTTTTCTGCAAACTTCTGCAGTCCTGCAGCAGTTCTTCAGGCCCAGAAGCCCAAGTGAGAGGCTCCACATGGGAGCTTCAGCGTTGCTATATTCCAGAAAAGGTGACGAAATTAAATTTCATACATAAGCTACATGAATGAAGACATTTCACATTTCAGTTAGCTTTTGTTATTTCCTAATCTAAGCCAGATAACTTGCCTGACAATGTTGTACATTCTCAAGAGTCACTACATGGGGAGTAATACACAACCATTTAAAGAGAAAGTAGAAAAGGAGGAAGAAAACACAAGCACTTTGACTTCCCCACAACAAGCACTTAATTCTTTCAACACTTTTAAGTCAAAAACAGAAGAAAAACCAGCAGTAACAACTTACTTTATTGCACTGCTTTTCCCCTTCAAACAACTTAACACCAGCGGGTCAGCACACCACCTATTTCAAAAAAGCAGATGACAGTGTTTGATATTAATATTCTAAATATAGGATCACTAAACTAAACTAGTAAGCAATAAGAAAACACAGAGCACAGATCAAGCATTGAGAGCTCTAGTTAAAACTTCACGAGGAAATAAAGCTATTCTTTACAGTGTTGCTTCAGGAAAATAATTTAAGTTTGTATAAAAGAAAAAAAACCCTTGTGAAAAACAATGGTGCTTAAAAGTATCAAGACAGACACAGAATTAAAAACTGAACCAGTCTTCAGACATACTTGAAGTTCTCAAAGTGGGCTACAATACACAGCTCCTTTGGAAACAGATCTGCTGAAAGCCACAGCATAAGAAAATATATACACTCTACTAAGAAAATATTTATTGCTTATATTTAATAACCTTCATCCAATGGTTATTTTACAATGTTTTATTGCATGTGGCACCTTAGAGCTTGTTTAAAATGGCCAAACGTGTCTACTAAAGCAACAGAAGATAGTGGCAAGTTACTAGAGAGAGGAATTGGTATGTCTAAGGTACCTTTTTAAGTTATTTCTACAAAAAGGAGGAGAAGGGAGAGAGAACTGTGGCAGATGGTCAGTCTAGTAAGCATCATTTAACACATTTCTCAACAATTATCAAACCTAGTCTTCTGAAATAAGATTCTTTCAAAAAACATATGGGAAGCTGCATGATGATTTGACAACTGCTACTACTGCATGAAATATGGAGCTTCCTACTTGAACCCTTTGGTTTTGACCGGGCGTGCTATAATGGGCTTATTAGCCCTGCATCCAGCCATCATTTCCTAATCTTCACAAGCATCTGTCCATGGTCTTCTCTTATAAGCACCCTTATGTGTTTGAGCAAATGGGCAGGAATGTATAAGACAAACTTATTTAATAATTTACTTGTGAAAGTGCCATTAGTTTATACTAATCTTCACAAGCATCTCTCCACGGTCTTCTCTTATAAGCACCCTTATGTGTTTGAGCAAATGGGCAGGAATGTATAAGACAAACTTATTTAATAATTTACTTGTGAAAGTGCCATTAGTTTATAAGTAATTATATACACTACAATTTATTTTTTTTTATATATATATACTGCAATTAATTATAGTAAAATTGTATGTAGGGAATTTTTTAGGTCAGCCACATGGACTCTAAGTTGGAATCAACAGCTCAAAATGTTCCTAAACTGAAGGACTCTAGAAAACAAAACAGAACGGAGGTAAAAAAAACCCACAAACTAAGAACAAGTAATAGTAATTAATGCAACCAAGTGCACAAACAGTCACATTAAACACATGGAGACGTTCTCCAACACAATATACCAGGATTATTCTCAGAGTTGGGGGGGGAAGTGTCTGCTTATTTTAACTTGTGTTTTTGAATGGAGAATTTTACCAACTCTTTCTTTACTGCTAGATTGCCACGTACATAATACTCAAATTGGACCTTTTAACCATTAGGTGAACTTCAACATTCATCAGTATTTTGGAAATCCAGAGAACAGTACAAAACCTACATAAATTTCCCATATTCTCATTTTTATAGCTTGTGTAATCAGCACTTTTGCTGTAGACAGATTAAAAATAGGCCAATGAACAGTCTGTGGCTTCCCATGTAAGCCAAGGTTTATGATAACTCCTTTCTGCACTGAATGGCTGAATGATGCATTTCCCTTAAGCTACAATTGTTTAGTGTCTGAATCACCATAAAATAGAGAATGTTTTATGGTTTTGAAGTGTTTTAAGAGATTCAGTATACTGGCGCACAGGAAACAAATGTTTAGGACTCTAGTATGAATTTGAGCTCAATCATTTCATTATTATTAATCTTGAATTCCCATAGGGCCATCACAACAAAAAAAAAACCAAAACGGCCTGTCCAGTCCCACTTAGTACCTTTGGACAACAACAACAACAAAAAAAGGCCTGTCCAGTCCCACTTAGTACCTTTGGAGCAGTGGATTTACTGTGTCCCAATATTCCTGGAAGAGCAAGAACAAATTGGTAGGCAGAGAGAGGTAACTACAAAGTGCCTTGAACTGCACTTCTTCAGAAACTGCTAAAGAAAAAGAAAACACGAGCAACTGTTAAAGTGTTTCAGCACTGCTGAATAATTCACTTAAAACTAGAAATCTCCTGATCCCTTCTTCATTGAATAAGACATATCTTGCAGCTTCAGCATGGCTCCCAGCTAGTACAATTACATGTTATTCTACTGACTCAGGCAGAGCTACAATAATTTGCATTAGCTGCAGATTTGCTTCAGGTTTAACAAATTTGACATGATTAAGTAATTTTTATGTCATGCATAAGTCACTGTAATAACAGAATCCCTTGCTTAAATTCCATTTCACTGCGTAGTATGTAACACACAGTAGTGCAGCAGATTTCGGTACTTGCCACGTTTTAGCTTTTGACTACAATGGACTTTTGCAATGGTATTAAATTTTGCTACGATCAAGTCAGTTCTAACACATTACATAAAGTTGGGCTAATTTAACGACTGCAATGGTATTAAATTTTGCTATGATCAAGTCAGTTCCAACACATTACATAAAGTTGGGCTAATTTAACAGTTTGCTGGGTGGTCATTTATTGCCTCTGCTACAGAAAACAGCATTGCTGATTCACTAGGAAGACTCCTCCCTAACAAATCAAATGGTAAGGACAATAGCATATCCCAAAGTACAAAGATTTTTACTTATATATCCTAATCATAGCCAAACTTAGTTCATACTTTACATAAATCGATTTAAGATGCTATATTCTGTTTCACTTGATCATAGCAATTTTTGGTCCTCCTTGCCAAACAGTTGATGATTCTGTGTTTCACTGCCTTTTGACAGAAGACAAAACAAAACCTTTGTTTTGGGGTTTAGTATCTGTAATGCATTAGGATCCCTTAAGAAGGAGGTTTAAGTTTTATAATGTGCTTTATATCTACTTGGCTCTCTTTTGCTAAATCCCTGGGTTATTAGCATTTACTAACATTAGCAACTGCACAAAAAGATGTGTGTGTTGGTTCTTTTTAAATATACTCCAGGCGACTTCTTAGGTGATGTACTCTAAGCCCATAGAATTATCCTTAAACCACAGAATCCTTGTATCCACAAATATTTACTATCAATACATCATTGATAATTCACATCTTTGCACATACTCAGAAGTAACTCTTTTCCATGCAAAGAAGGCAGAGACAACTCAGCCTCTCATGCCTGCCCTTTCCTGTACAAATTAGTATTTAATTTTCTGAGTCTTACTTAAATGTATTATCTATTGTTACGTTTCTGTGAACATTTAAAAATTCCATTCATCCAAGAAAACAGTAAACAAAGCCACTATATAGCCACGTTTGCTTTCTCATATTTACCTTGTAGTAGCTCCTCAGGTGGAGAAACTCCCAGCAAATAATGGAAAAATAAAGCAGCGCAACGAAGGTAAGGCATGATGCCTTTTTTAACAGAATCCCACACAAACCAGCCTGGAATATCCTGACTGAAGCAACTGTAACACACAAACAAGAAATAGCTGCAGCAGTTCACAGTGCAAATCTTTGTAGCACTTTCACATTTTGGCTAGCACTGGGAGAATGGCAGCTGGGTAAAACCAGCACTGATGTATCCCAAATTCTGTGAAACCAGCCCAAATTCTGACCACCCCTGTGCCTAAGGAGTTTAGGTAGAACCTTCAAATTATCTCAACTTCTATTTTTCAAAATAATAAAAAATAGACAGCCAACACATAACTGTCCATCTCTAGGTAACTCAAGATAACCTGATTTAAACTGTGCAATACAGCATCATACATGGATCAACTGATTCTTGCACTGGTTGTTTTTTTCATTACCAAAAGCCAGCGATTTTTTGAAATGGTGAACATTTTTCATTCAGTTGGTGCTTTTAATGCAATTCAAAAATGAGGAAAGAACCAACAGCCAAACATAAATACTCTTCAGGAACAACAAAACCACCACAATTAAAAACTTAATACCTCATACTCCATGATGGAAGTCACAACAGTAACACTCAGATTGTTTAAAATAAAGCTATAATAATCCCATTTTTGACAAAAGGCACTGGAGTGATCCTCTTCTCAGTAATTATTCTTGTGCAATATGAGCATTTTGTCTAAATTTCATAGTAAATTTAACTTACTTACAGTGTCCTTGCTTTCTAAAAATTTTAAACTGAGTTAAATTCACATTTACGTGCACAGGATGTTCACACAAATGTTGACCAGGACCTGCTGAGGAGCCAGCTGTAAAGCTGTAGCTATAACATTCTAGACTACTGCAGAATTATTATGCAGATTGTGCTGTTTAAGCACAGGTAGGTGAGAGTTGGCAGATGACAGTGCATGTGCAGAAATTAAACCACTAAAAATTTCATTGTTGGGTTGTCTAAACTTTGCCATTTTATTCTTTAGTGAGGCATCTCAATACATTGACCTGGTTTTCCAAAATCCTACCTCAGAAAAATTGCTCTTATTATTCAAATATAAAATTTTAAATATTTAGAAATAAAGATTTAAAACTTTTAGACAAGCGGGTAGTGTTGTCAATCCTTGAGAAACGTATCTTTGCAACTAGCCTTGGTGAAGATAAATCAAAGCAGAATTTGTAGAGCGTGCATCCATATTTTCTTGCTTATTTCACAAAGAGATACCAAAGTACTCAAGAGTTCATAACTCTATCAAAAAAGTCTGAAAAAGTTTCCTTTTTTTCAGTGTTCAGGAACACAGGAAGAAAGCACACCACATTGTGCCAAGTCCCCATATAAAATGGACATTTTTTTTTTCCTGTTTTCTGTGTTGCTCAGGTCAGCCCCTGGGGATTGCTTTGTCTTTCTAGGAAAATGCAATGCAGTAAGTGAGCTGCTACTTACCCACTGGTGTACTGACAAACCTCCCTACAGAAAGACTGCGCAGACCGTGCCTCCTCGCTGTTGTCAGGTGATCGAGCAGTAGGGGATTCTGCACACAAAAACATTAATCCCACTGGGCACACCACATTGTGCCAAGTCCCCATATAAAATGGACATTTTTTTTCCTGTTTTCTGTGTTGCTCAGGTCAGCCCCTGGGGACTTCTTTGTCTTTCTAGGAAAATGCAATGCTGTAAGTGAGCTGCTACTTACCCACTGGTGTACTGACAAACCTCCCTACAGAAAGACTGCGCAGACCGTGCCTCCTCGCTGTTGTCAGGTGATCGAGCAGTAGGGGATTCTGCACACAAAAACATTAATCCCACTATAAAACCACTTCATTTGTGACACACTTCTATTTTTTTTTTTATATATACTGAGCCCTTTTTTTTTTTTATGTAAAAACACTTAATTTGTGACACTTCTATTTTTTTTATATATATACTGAGCTCTTTTTTTATTTTTAAACACATTGCAGAAATATTTCTACTTTGTTTTGCTTAATTCATTTTCTATTTGCTGTTTTTAACCTAACAAAGGTTCTCCTAAAACTGCATGCTATAAAGAAGAATCAGGATTACTGCCTCATTTGCTCATCCTCACATAAAAACTGCTTCTTTCTCTTGAACTTTTGAAGTTGTCATCTCACATAGATTAAACTACAGGAAACTTTATTTGTTTGCTTTTTTAATTCCCATTTCTACTTTGTTTTGTTTAATTACTTTTCAATTTGCTGTTTTTAACCTAACAAAGGTTCTCCTAAAAACTGCATGCTGTAAAGAAGAATCAGGATTACTGCCTCATTTGCTCATCCTCACATAAAAACTGCTTCTTTCTCTTGAACTTTTGAAGTTGTCATCTCACATAGATTAAACTACAGGAAACTTTATTTGTTTGCTTTTTTAATTCCCATCATGCTGAAGAGAAATGAAAGTAGTAGCTAGGAAGCCTGTAGGTTACTGACATTTTTTTAACAGTAGTATGAAATATAAGGAAAAGTGAAATTCTCTCCTATCGGTTTATAGGATTCCATATTTTGGCTCTGGGTATTTACTAGGTTGAAGGGTAAAGAAAAGTTTCTTTCCCAAATCCATGCTGTCACTGCACAGCTCCGAGTTGATGAGGAAGTTTATACCTGGAAGACACTAATGGTGTCCAACCATTTTTTTTAAGAAACTGTGTAAAAATGCCAGAATACTTCAACCCAAACACACCTCCACCTGCTGCTGAAGAGACGACGATTTGTGTGATGTGTGCCAGGGTTGTCAGATGGAAGAGGTAGAGGTGGTTATAGGCTGAACTAATTGATGAAGGTTGCAAGTCTACAGCATCCTCCCAGTATAAAGATGGAAACGATAACACAACTCCCACCTAAAGTGAAAGAGAAAATATTAAAGTAACAGAAATTTGGCAATAGCTACATGGTTAATAGAAATTATATTCTCACTATACATTTATATTTAATTTCTGTAGTCAATATGAATACTGTTGTTTATAGCAAAAGATCATTGGAAAATATTAACCACTTGTGCCCCTCTGGCATGCAGGAAACTCAGATATTTTGTAATTGCCAGTTTAGAGATACATCAAGAAAGTTTCTCCAATTCCTAGAAAGCTTAATTTCTGGTTTTTGACATAAGACAAAGCACACTGAAAAAAGTGAGAAGAGAGACCAAGCATTAGTTAGGAAAGCAACCAGGGCAAAACCGGTTTTATTTTGGTGGGTTTGAGTTTTTGTTTGATTTTTTTTTGTTGGCTTTTTTGTTGTACGGTTTTGTGGGGGTTTGGTTTCTTTTGGTGTTTTTTTTTTTTTTTTCAAACAGTAGAAGAAAGTGTAATATAGATTTGTATTAAGAACAGAAAGAAGAGGCCAAGAAGAGTAAAGAAGGTGATGAGAGCGAACATAAATGAATCAAGGTATGAGAGGCACAGTGAGACAAAAGGAGAGTGAGGGAAACAAGCTGAGTGGGTGCATTTCTCAGGGGTTTTTGAAGGTTTGAGATCAATGGAGGTTGCCAGCATGAGACTGCAAGCACGAAATTTAGTAAGAGTGAGACAGCAAAGACTTCTAAGCCAGAAGAACAACAGAACTAACAGTAAACACTTGCATATAGAAGCCATATGTAATCATTTGCTTGTATGCAGCGCTCATGTATAACCATTTGACTCATGCAAGTGAACAGACAATACAGAATTACAGGGTAAAGTACCCAAAAATCCATGCTAAAAAACCCCACCAAACAAACAGCTATTAATATGAAGAATAAAACTGAACCTGCTTACCAAAACGTGGAACATATCTACTTCTAAGAGGGATGGAGTGTCTTCCACTTTAAAGGCTGGTAGAAGAACTACGAAATAAAAGTATCGATTATACATTTGATATGTACTTTTTTCTTTTGGATTGAATGGCAATATCAGAATCTGATTTTAGAGCCTCTATAATTTCTGTGTTTTCATCAAAAAAATGCCCAAATCTCTCAACTAAGGAAGTATCTAATTAACCATTTACCACTTACTTAATTGGGTGTGCATCTGTTTAGCTATTTCCACATGCTCAATGACTACATGTTCAAGATTCTAAGATAAAAGGCTTTGATTTATTTCTCCAGCTCTAATAAAGCACACAGTGATAAGTGTGAAAACCACAGATGTCTTTAGGCACTGCAGCACCAGATGCATCACAACCTCACCCAATACAAAAGCCACCCCCAAGAATCCTATCAAACAGGAGACAGGTCAAAGAGGAAGAATCTTATCAATCCTATCAAACAGGAGACAGGTCAAAGAGTGGGATTCACAGGCCACCACACTCACCTCAGCAGTAAGAAACACGAAGGATAGCTATGTGCCTCAAACTAGCTCTCCCTGAGACCAAAATACCTTAAACTAGGCTGCAAGCAGCCTTTTGAAAGTACTAAAAAGTTGGCCTCCCATATGAGAGAGAGGAATACCTGTTTTGTGGCTTTATCCACCCATTTAGCATCATTTTGAACATTTTGAACACTGCCAGAAATAGGCTACTAACCATCTGTAAATATTCCAGATCTGAGAATGTTTAGCACAGAGTTTAAGTAATTTTGAACACTGCCAGAAATAGGCTACTAACCATCTGTAAATATTCCAGATCTGAGAATCTCCAGGTGTATGTAATCTGGGATAGAAGATTTTTTGGGGACTTCAAAAATACAAGGCTGGGTTAACAAAATTATTGATTACTTAAGTTCAATCAATACTCCATGACTTCATGCAACATTAGAGAAACTGAAGTTAGCACTGCAGTCAGGAGTCTAGCCTTTGCTTCTATGCTGCATTAGTGGGTGTGCTGGTTTGCACCAGAAACTTCTGCAACAGGAAAGGAAGCCCAGAAAAGGAATACGATACCTCCTAGAAGACGAACCAGATGTTTCTGAATCAGGCCCTGTGGGGATGTTGTTCTCTGAGCAGCTGCAAACTGCACTAATGCTTTAAGGCCACTGTGCTAGAGCGCATGAAAAAATGGTTGGACAGCAAAAAAGGAAGATATAAAAGTGAAATAAAGCTGTAAAAACATATCTACTTCTACAAACAGAAAAATACATCAATAGGAGAACTTAATATGAACTTCCATGTATAAGTAGAAATATGATTCTTCCAGAACATTTTTTATGTTATCAATCTAAACTTCTCAAAATCTACATTTTGAGAGCTATCCCTCCAGAGGGATAACATCAAGATGTTTGCAAGATTTTAACAGTATCAACAGTATTTTTTTTATATATATGTGTATTATATATGTATATAAACTTTTTTTTTGTTGTTTAAAATATACTGCATATCTTACTTGCCCATACCTGTCTATTTTGTAGAGATCCAAATAAAGGCTTGCCTTCCGTTTCCAAGAGGTTTTCTTAAAATCAAACACAGAAGAAATTAATTTGCTTTGCTCTACAGGAACTAACATAACCTTTCTGTTAGAATACACTTCGTCCAAGATTAATTTACTCTTAATATATGAACTTCTTTTTAAAGCTCAATTTTATTCTGATAAGAGAATTCTCTTGAAAAAAAAAGAATCTAGCCTAAAGGGCACTGAATGTTTCCCATGTACATGGTTATAACAAGCTTTTTAAAAACATTTGGTTTTCATATCTTGCTAATTTGGGATATAAACGAACATGGTTTCACATGAACGATGATAAGACATTCTATGGATTTAGTTTAATTTTCAGTTACCCTTATACAATGCTCAAAAACTTTAAGGTACGTTTACAGGGATGCTACACAGCTCTGATTTGCACTACTGCAGTCGACTGTTGTTTAACAAAAATATTTTGTAAACAAAATTCCCAAGTTGGAATACAACACAGCTTTCCTCCCTGAGTGCATTGGTTCTAAAGGGATAATAAAGAGAAAATAATCCAATAAAAATAACAAACCAAGTTAACTCAATTTAGTAAAAAGTGAATAAAAAGGTATCAATTAAGATGTTTGTGCTTTAGTCACTATAGTCACTTTTCAGAGATTAATCAGTACACTTCAAGATCTTGGAAATTTTCTTTTGTTTGTTTTCACTGGGGTTTTTTTGTTGGGAGGGTTTTTTGGTTTGTTTTTTGGGTTTGGGTTTTAGTTTGGTTGTTTTGTGGTTTGTTTTTTTTAAACCACCACTAACAAAAAAATGAAAGCGTTTCAACTTAGCACTTCCATACATCAGTTTAACACACAGCATGTGGAGCTGCTGAGGAAACATGAGAAAAATCAGATTTCTATTTTTAAGTGGCTTTAGGCTTAGGCAATAAAAGCAATTCACATCCCTTGTGTCATCAATGCTTTGAACCTCCTCTAGAGACTCCACTAATACAGGCATCTCGGGCTCATTGTCTAGGCAGCTTGGCTACATGCCTGTTAAATGATCTTAATAATGCACTTTGTGACTAGATTCAAAACCAGCATACAAGAAGCTATGCAGCATTTTTGTTTTTCAATTTCATGGAAGCCTGCTCCATTTGTAAACAAAAATTAATAATCCAAGGAGATGGTGCGGCCTAGGATAGGCCAGACTGTCACAGTCTGGTTTTATAATCCTAGCCTGGTAAGGCGTCTGAATTTTCTCCTTCTGACATATGCCTTCATTATCACATCTGTAACAGCAGCTATTGCATAGATACACTTGCTAGCAACCTCATCCCTGACAGCCACCAAGGCCTTTTTCAGATATTAAATGAAAACAATCTGCACAGCATTAAGTGCGTTGACATTAATAGAGCTGGTGGCTTCCAGTCCTCTCCCGACCCATTTGAAAACTCTGATAAAATCCAACCCTAAAACGATGCAACGAGTTTTCATGACTATTCCTGCCTTATCAGAATATTCCCCATTCTCCTACAAACCTTTTGAACTCTTGATACTCCACTTGAGTCAAGTCCACTACAGATTTAAGGTAGACCACACTTGTAACTCAACAGTTTCATCAATAAAAAGTGGCATATTTAGCAAATCTTATTTATAGAGATGTACAATTCTCAATTCCATCAGCACGCATTTCAGACTTACCTCTTGCCTCTCTCCCTGCCTGGAAGCCACTACAGATTTTTTTTACAGCTTCACATTTACTACACAGACTCCTTTGTGTATATAGTACAGAAATGAAATGAGACTGACTGCTAAACAGGTACACTAGCCCAAAAAATGCAATCATTTTTATGGTAATTATTTTGCCTTCAAAAAGAGATTCATGCTACAGAGTGTTTGGGTTTTCTTTTTTCCTACCAGGATTCTGCTTAGCAATTTCAGAATATACAAGACCATACTACTTCTACAAATTCCATGAGAATCCTTTGAGAATAGAGACAAAAAACAATATGAGAGGGAGTAACTGTTAGATATTTAGCTGTGTAGCAGATGCCTGCAGGTCAATGATCTCTGGCAGCCTGAAGATATTAATTGAATGTGCTTAATGTTACAATTAGTAATGTGGAACATGACCGCTCCCTGCTCTCTCAGACTAAACTCGATGTTGGCATTCCATATCTTAGTTTATGAACTATCATCTACCAAAACCATCCTATTATTTATATCGAATTATAGATTATCATTCTATTATTATGTAATTACATATAATATACATTGTTATACTATTGCATATTGCTCTTGTTTATGTAGAGCTATTATTATTTATACAATCATATTTTATAAAATTATACAATCAAACAACTGTAAGGTTTTCAAGTCATTAAAAAGGAATAAACCCAAATTATGCTTTACCTATACACTGGATGGTAAAAGCACACGTGCTCCAGGTCATCATAGGAATCCTGTAATCAGCTTCATTTGGAGCAACTTTTAGCCCAACTCTATAAATGGTGGTGGCAAAGAGAATAAGCATCTCCTTGATACTGCTGGAGTATTTGGCTCTGCAAAAGTAAGCCAAGATAATTTCAGTCTGAATTATTGATAGTGCTTATTACTTACGGTCAATCACTAACAATGTCTAAGTTAATTATTAACAGATTCTTGAATACAAAGGCCCTTTTTCTTTACAGATGAAAAACATTTCTAGTTTCCAGTAGTAGATAAGTACCTTGACATAACAGGCAACACGAATCAAGAGATTAATAGCTGCCAGACTGGAAGGAGTCTGTTTCTATATATTGTATTATAATTCACACTCAAAAAAATGAAAACATTTAAATCAAAGTAAAATACAATGAAAAAGCAAAATGCAAGTAACTAATTCTAAGTGCTGAGGTGAAAAAATATCCCATCTCATAAGGCACTAAAAATGCAAAGAAAGACATTTCAAATGCTTTTTTAGCATTTAAGCTCCTTTCAGCTGCCACTGGGTTTGTTTATGTATGTAGTTATATGCAGAAAGGTGCCTTGGCAAAAACTGGTACAGTTTTAACGGCTCGTGTTTTTTCAAAGTCATACACAGAACTTCGTAACAGAAACATATGACATACATATTAATTCTCCAAATCTCTACAGCAAAACAATTGTACCACAAAGTTTGGGAATTAGCCAGCATCATACTTAAATATGACATAGTTTAAGTGCAAACTGTAAGATCTTTCCCATGGAGGTGAGCTATCAAGAAAGAATTTGATTCAACTATGATGTCAGGCAGAAGCAGAAGTAGTAGAGTACTTATAGCATGATCTAAAAAGAAGACAGACAGCTGAGTACACAAAGATACTCTAAAAGTATCTATCCAACCACTCTGTTTTAGTGGGAGAGGGCTTTTGTGCACTGGAATAGAAGCAGCCAACACAGCCCTATTCCTTTGGGTATCCTCTATTACATTACTGCATCCATAACCAAGTGAAATCTACCCATGAAACAGAAACATAGCAGGAAAATTAAGGCAGACAGACATAAAATAACTTGCCTAGAGGCACAGGAAGTGACCCAAATCACTGAATTGTGGATTAGAATCTTCCAGACTCTCACCTTTGTACCAAGAACATAACAACTACCAGACTGGATTTAACCTAGAGGTCCATCTAGCTTTGTATAGGTCTGGCATTAGCGAGGAAAAGTGTAAGTAAGCCCATATTCAAATCAAACAAATCATATGGCTTTCCTTCTATACAAAGCCTAAAGAATACCTAGGTTATTTTAGGGAGAATTAACATAATGCAGAGAGCACTTCTAGTAACACTTACGAGGACTGAACTCCAAAACTAAGAATGGAATGGAATTCCAAAGCAGAGTTCCCCGGGCCCTTGTTGGCAAAAGCTGGAAGATTTTGTTTCTCTCCTTCCAAAAAAAAAAAAAAAAAAAAAAAAAAAAAAAAAAAAAATTATTCATATTAAAAACCAAAGAAGTTGTTAGGGTTTTTACAGCAGTCTAACAGAAGTGAGACAACTTTTTATTTTAAACTGGTTTGAAAATAACTGTATACAGGCCTCAGCAGCCAAACTGTCTTGTAACCCTCCTCACTAAGTAATATTTTCTTCTATTCCCAAAAATATGGGGATTAAAAATAGCGCTTCGCTGGTGAGGAAAAAGAGCTTTCCTGCATTGTAAGAGTGCAAGGAATATGTTGATTCTCTGCACCTTCTGTTTTCTAAACACTCATACATGTTTTTATTTTGGCCCTTTAAATTTAATTTTTTCTCTTTTTTACTGCATCAGTCAATACAAAGGTTTAATTAACTCTGAGTGTTAGTTGATGGCTATCCCCTCCAAGTTTACACAATTTTCTTCTACGGGGAAGATGGAAAGAAGTTTTCTGTTGCTATTAGTTAAAACATGTACTGGCATATTAGATATCCCCCAGAATAACTTCAAAATTAAGATAACAAACCTTTAGCATTTTTCAGACTGTAGCCCAATATCCTGGCTGTGATAATCTCCAGCCACCTAGCCAGGGAGAGAATTTGAGCTACGGCCTCTGCATCCTCACTGAAAATAGGAACAGAAAGCAGGTTTTACTTTAACACTCAAAGGATCACCTTACCTTTAAAAACAGAGGATGCATCTGGATCAAAAAACATCAACTCAGTATTTGCAGGGTTTTGCTGGCTTTGTAAGTTTTGAGCAAACAGTACAAAAGTAAGTATTAGGCTAATACTAGAACTAGGTTCTTGCTCATTTGATATCAGCTCCAAAAGACAACTAATCCAAACATGCTTTTTTTAAAACAAACAAAAAACCCCAACTTTTTAATTGCCAAAAGCAGTATATTTGCTGAATAATCAATATGCAGTCTTTTTATACAGATTAGGAAGATCAGCCCAAATTTTCCTTCCAAAAATTTGAAAAGTCAGCCTGCCCCAAAGTAATTTTTATTTTTCTTTTTTTAATTAAAGCTTATGCAATCTTGTAATTCACCTGTTTATTTTTTGAGCCTGCAGTGGAATGATAGGAATCACAGTATTGCACAGAGATTTGCAGAGTGGACAAAGATACTCTCCGTTCTCCAAGTCAAATATCTGTTCAACGTGCAGACGTTGTCGGAAGTTCAGCTGCATGGCTTCAAAGTACCTGCAACATGGAAAAGGAAATTACTGGAAAGTGGAATGGTGCCAATGTGACACGAAAACAAATGTTCAAGTAATTAAAATTGTTATTCTCTAGCAAGTTCCCATCCAAGCCAACAAACAAATATCTTCCTTTGATTTTTAACTCTTTCACATGCTCAGACATGAAGATATAGTAAAATCTTTGCACACACACATGAACTCATGCAAAAATGCATGGTATTTCACTCATGCAAAAGTGACAGCAGCTCTTTCTTGCTTTGAAGAGCCTTTTAAGTTTCCTTAGCGCTTTTACAGACAAGCAATTCTTAAATTTTCTACTCTTCTATCACAACATCTTCAAAACAATGAAACACTGTATCTAGTATCTCATATGCAACTCATTACAGGAAGTTTGAAACAAGGACTGTACATATTTTTATTTTGTTTTAGGAAAAACTAGTGATAATACTTCACAAAGGACTAAGCAGCTATTTGTGGCAATGACTGAGCCTGATGATTAGACAATGAAACTATAGCTTTATTTTAACAGGAGGAAAGGATAATTTATATTACAATATCACACTTCAGCTGTTTTATACTCAAAGGGAAACTCAGAAGTAACTATCACCTTTTTACAGGTTTCATTATAATTTTGCCCCCTCAGTGGATGCGGGAAGCATTCAAATTTCATTAATGTCTCGGTGGTGTTATTAGGAACAAAAAGATTCAACATTCATATCTTCTTGGCTGGATACAAGCAACTAAATTCAGTACTAATGTTCAGACTGGGTACATAGGATCTTCAAGACTGATATGAAATTGTCTAAATTCCCCACTATGGTAATAACAAGATTTTTTAATTTTTTTGCTTTAAATCACACATCTTAAGGGAAAGAACAAAATCCCATTTATGTAATAAGAGAAAGTGTGCATGTAATTTTTTTTGCTTTAAATCATTCATCTTAAGGGAAAAAACAAAATCCCATTTATGTAATAAGAGAAAGTGTGCATGCAGGGGTGTCTGCAGAAGTTCTAATGATCACAGAATATTGAGGAAAGTATTCTGTTACAATCAACAAAAACATACATTTATTTTCCCACATTCAAACAACTCTGTTTTTGCAAGCAACTCCTCTTCCTCATACATGGCAACTACACAGATATTCCATTCATCTGAACTCTTTTAGAGAGTATTTTACAGAATTTTTAGGCTGCACAGATGCTCTAGAAAGGTGTGGCAGGCAGCGCTTAGAGGAATATTAGTAAGTTAGAATGTCTGTTATGTAATAAATAAAAGACTATACTCAAACCTTCTGTGCCATCCCAGAAGAGCCTGTTGTCCATTTTAATCCCATTTACCCATACAGCAAGTCATCTTTCCTTAAAAAGTGCAAGGGAACTGAGCTCCAATGTTGCACTACTTAGATCTACGCAGATGTAGATGGATCTGCCAAGAGCAGATGTATTATACTCAAGGAACATACTTCCATATAATTTTAAGTGTGTGCACCTATTTACTCTGTATCAATGTTTTATTGTAAAAAAGAAAAAAATTTTAAAAAAATACACATATATAAAAAAAGTGATAAGCACCAGAAGTTTAGTCAGATTTTTTGAAGTAAAATGGCACAAGTACAAACAACAAACCTTAAGATACTGTTTATATCATACAATAACATAAAGTAGGTTGCAATTGCATGACCCTACTCTCTTTATCTGTGGCTAATACTTCAGTGGGATTATTTCTATTATTATTTCACACTATTTATTTTATTTAGAACTGCCAGACCTATGTGGAGTCAAATGCAGAGAGCATTAGCTTTGCTCTCCGTAATCCTATGAACATCGATGCAACCAGGGTGACTATATTCTACAGGCTAAGTAGCTTGGTCTTTTAATATTTCAGGTTGCACTCTAATCCTACACACTTAGTCTAAATCGTGGGCTCCCCAAAACAATAGAAATCTAGCAAAGTTTTTAAGCACTGTACCAATTCTTCCTTTTTACTAAAAGTTTGTTCACCAATAGGGGAGGGGTAGAGAAGAAGTATTGGTAGATTTAATGATTCATATTCTATTCTAAATGCCAGATTTTAATCTAAAGACTCACTGGAACAAGTCGGCTTCATTCTTTGAAAGTCTGTCACCAGGTCAGTACTTGGAGTCAAAGCACTGTTGCTACGGAACGCTCACCTGGAAGATTCCTACTGTTTCTCATTGGCTTCCTAAAATAAACCCACTAGATATGGTTTCTTATTCTTGACCAAATTTATTCCCATCAGTTTTAATTTCATGAATTAGTAACTCCTTAAGGGATTCTTCTTTGGGTTATAGAAGGCACTAAAAACTTCTAATGATTTTCTTCATCAGGCCAAAACTTCTCTTGGGTGATATTTCATTTTCAGATGAGTACAAACAGTTTTGACTCCGTAATAAAATATCCGGTTACTGCACTGCGTTTTCAGTGTGCACTTCAGTGTTTTGGAAAATAGATTAATGAAAAAAATAATAAAGAGGCTGCAAAGATACATCCTTACTTCTGCCAGCAGGCTGCATGCATTACATGCCCACAGCTTCCTGTGTGGGTCCCACAAGGCAAGTCCGGGTGCATGAAGAGAGGATCTACAGTATCTAGAACGACAAATCAGAAAGAAATTACCAAAGGAACAAAAACACAGCTTCCTATCAGTATCAACAGGAATGAACAGCAGCATACACAGAACACAAGCCTGCGGATTTTATTTTCCCCACAGTTCACAGTGTCACATTAACAATCCCACTTGGCTGGCTTTTCCAGACCAGTACTCCAGCAAAACAACCACAAGACAGAGCCCGCTTAAACTACTGAAGGCTTTCGACTAATTATGAAGAAAAAGACAACAAAATCCAAAAGCAATAGTAAATTGGTCAAAAGAAAAAAAAAAAAAAAAGAAAAGGATTCTTCGGTACTGGCATAGCTCTGCAGTTGGATTCACTATCACTGAAGTTTTTCATGTGTTTGTTACTGTATTTTTAAAGTAAAGAAAATGAAACTGCTAAGAACAAGAAACATTAGGCATTTCTCCAACTCACCCCACATATTTTCAGGCCACTGACATCCACAGCACTACTGAATAACAAATTCAAGTCTATCTCTTACTGATCCTGCATAATTGTTAACAGCAAAGACACTACCTAATGGTGTCTTTGGCACTCGCAGTGAGACTCCATTCCCCCTTAGAGATACCTAAATAGTACTCAACAACAGCAGTCCTCCAAACTTCAGCTGGTGGACTGTTTATGAGTTTGGACAGATATATATTTTGTCAAATTCAGGTGTAATAAGAGAAAAAGAAAAAAACAAACAAACAACATAAAACCTAGCACCCAAATTGCACTGAAAATATAATTCTATTTGACAGTGGCTGAAGCTGCCCAAAATCAAATGGGCACTGAAATAAGAAAGTGAACCTTGGTGTAACACTAATCTGCACTTCTGCTGTGGTAACAACCATTTTTCCACTTACTTAGAACTTGAAAGAAAAGCAGCTCTTACATAGAATTGTAGGCCTACTCACAGGCCTGCTGCAGAGGACCATGCAGTAGAGAGTAAGTGCTATAAATAACATCCAGAAGTGGCCTTAGGAAAAGGAGCATCATTCCCTTCTTTTTTTCAATTATTTCAATAGCCCAACAAGTCACCACAGAAAGCTTGCCAGTGTATCTGACTACAAGAGCACAAGACTTAATTTGTACTTCAGGTTACCACAGAAGAGAGCAAAACAAACGGATGCAATTAGTACGTGGCCTAGATAAAAATTCTATACAGCCGGCCCAAAATTTTTAAGTTGTCTTATAAACTAATCACAATTACTATCTTCCAACATAATTCTGGGACATCCAGCCTGGATAGAATACTCAAACTTTTAGTACTTTCTCATTTCACTTCTGTTTCTTTTGATGTGTTTTTTTTTTTTTAAACAAATACTTTGCTGCAATCTCAGAAGGCTAAGAAGGGCAAACATTTCCTATGCATTTAAAAAAATAATTAAAGAAGGCAATATACTGAAGGAAATGGTTCTTCTAGTACTTTCAATATTACCTTAATAATTGCCAAGGTGAAGTTATCTAGACACTGTTTCAACTCTTCTTATCCTACTCTAGACTGCATTTCTCTGTTCTTAAAATTAACAGCCACCAAGCATCCATCTGATCTTGAATTATTATTATTTTCCTTTTTCAAAGAGAGCAAAAAAGTCAGTGAGTACTTAAGTTTTCCCTTTTCCTTCTACTTATTTTCTTTCTTTCCCTTAAGTAACTGACCAAAATCTCTCTCATGTTTAATCAACAGTTACATTTTCATTTATCAGATGATATCATGTGATCCTCACACTTTTATATTTTTTTATGTTGCTGTTTTTATTAGTTCCTGGACATAAGGAACAAAAAAAATTCAAACAAAAAAAAGTCCAAACCAAATCCTCCCTAGGCTGCCATATTGGCCTTTGACAATGTTAATGTATTTCCTCCATACTGGGAACGTTTGCTGCTGTACTTGAATTAACAGGAACTGTTAACATTCATGGATTTTTTTCCAGAGTGACCAATTCTATCAAATCTCTAAGTTCTATAAAATCTTCTTGTGAGATTAACATTTTTCTGATTTCCCAAGGACAAATCAAAATCTTCATAGACTTTTCATTTTTAAGTTTTAAAGCAGGAATTTTAAAACAATTTTTAAAATTTTAGCTTTCTTTCTATCAAGTAGGATAAGCCATTTAGCAATCTGATTGGATACAGAGTTTAATTAGGTTCAAAGCTCTAGGTACAGAACTGCTTGTAGTCTAAACGAAGAAAAATCACATACCCCCTGAGAGTTCAAGAATTCTGCTCCTATTTTGAGTTAACGCAGTTGATTTCTGGACACAGACAGATAATACCATGGCAGCACTTTCCAACTTTACTTCCTGCTCCTCCTGACAGAGAATACAGGTCAGAACTTCTTTCTCAGCAACAGATGGACCTCGTTTGGGACCCAAAGCAATTTTGGAGTAATCAATTGCCGAAGACATGCTGTAAGACCATAAGTGACACAGATATAAAACAATCAAATGGCTTTTTCTAAACATTCTTCCATGTATCTAAAAGGCTACATATTGCTAACATTTCCGGTTTTATACCAAAGTGCTTTACAAAAACAAATAATGATCAAACAATGAAGAAATGCCTCAATCCTCACTAAAATGAAGTACTCTTTAAATACAGAAAGGGGCAGCCAGCTGACATGGAATTACACAATGAAATGGATTCAGCAGGAAATTCAGGAAGCTGTATTCAATGCAGATTGGATTAAATATATTTTAATCATACAGACATATTAAAACCGTTTCCCATTCTTGAAGAAAACATACTGAAGATGAATGCCACTACCTTGATTCAAGGCTTTGTGATACAATAAGCTTCCTTATATTTTTTTAAATATTCCTTATTCCAGAGTTCAACAATGTTTTATAGAACACCATTTATTAAAGAGCAAAGCACAAAGAAGTGATCTGTACTTTTTTTCCTATCAGGTATCTCTATTTTCCTGATTAGTTTTGTGCAGCCCCAATTAGACCAAAATTGTGAGGTGTATTAGGTATACTATATTGTTGAAGCATCTCTGGAACAGGAAGAATCCATACCATACAAAATTATAACCAATATAAACCAAACATCTTCAGTATGAAATTAGATTTTAAGAAGTAATGAAGAGAAATATGAAAACTTGAGCTACAAGAAGCATATTTTCTTCATCGCAACTTAACCTTAAGGGATATTGGCTTTCAGATTCTTCCCAAATTAAATACTTGAATTTTCATATAAGGTAGACAGTCACATCCAAAATTAGTGCTGTCAATTCAGCTGCATTCTAATGAAATTTATTCAAATGTTGAGAAATATAAGTATCCATTTGAAGAAATAATTAGTTTTCTTATAGTTTATCTTGTGCTGCTCTACAAAGTGAGTCCATTGTTCTTACATTAGTATAAGCACACTAGTTGACATATAATTCTGTAACAGAAGATGACTTAAAAGTAAGAAGAGAAGTATTCAAGTTTTCTGACTGGGATGACACAATCTGTCCCTTGAACTAGAGACACAAGTTTTTTGACTGGGATGACACAATCTGTCCCTTGAACATCCTCTCAAAATGTTTACGTGGATACTGAACTTATGCAGCCAGTAATCGTCCCTTCCCACAAGAACTCTGGATGTCTGCTTTTTCTTACCTTTCTTCCTCCATAATAGCATCTTCTTTCCCCTGTGCCTCCAGGGTGTTTTCATAGAGGAGCTTATGGGTTTCAATGAAATTCCTCTGCAGTGCAGACATCTGGGCCATAATCTTCTGACGGTGCAACCTAGCTGCTTCTGCCTTCCTCTTCCGCTCAGCCTTCTCTTGATCCTGGGTGCTCTGTGTCTTACAAGAAAAGAGAATAAAGAGATCACAGGCAACAGAGAACAGCAAAAAAATGAGAAGAATCTTTCCCCACCAATACATTCTAACCACTGACATCAAATTCCTTAACTGACAACAAAGAAAAGTTAAGCGCTATCCGAAATATGTAAAGCTGAAATCTTAAATTAACCTAGTCAGAACAAAGAGATTTTTGAGGGGTCCACAAAAGGTCACTAGTACAATCTCTTGCCCGAAGACAGGATCATTAACACCTGATCCATTTTAATTAAGTGCTTGCCTGTTCCCAAGAAACTTTTGTGAGCTGATCACAAGCCTCCTCCAGAATTTTGTTATTCCCCCATAAGCAAAATTCCTTTTATTCAATTACTGAAGGCACAAACTCAATATTATACACATCATTTCCATTCACGATACCATTACTTTTTGAAGAAATGAAACAAGAAGCTGCTCCAAAAGTAGTGGAACTGTAAAAGTCTCACTTCTGACTGACTTAGGCATTTTTTTCCCTTACCTTCCCAGATACCATATGACACCTTTCTCAAAAAAGAACCACAGCATATGCTGTGGTAAATTCAGAGCTACGCACGCAGTGACAAGCCAAGAGACTGTCTGGCAGCACAGCAGGCTGTTGCCAACAGAATGTGTAAGAGCAAACCAGCCTGTTCTTTGCAAACTATCTAAGGGTAGTTGGACTCTTCTTCTCTATGCAGCTTCCAGTTAAAAAAAAAAAACAAAAAACCACCAACAAAACAACAACCAAACACTCACAGAACTCCAGTAATCTTTGAAATCTTCATTTCACTATCTCATTTGACCACTGGATTCAAAAGTTATTTTGAGGAAAGTGTAGAGTCCGATAAACAGACAGAATAATCACCTGAACCTGATTCCTTTATACAATCAAGGCAAAGCAGATTAACCTCTAGGTAGGTCATGTAAACTACAAGACATCATTTTAAGTGGATTTGTATTTCTAATTATTGCACAATGACAACGTAATAGAAAAGGTGATCAAATCATAAAGGTAAGAAATGGAGAAATGAACACAAATTACTTCTTCACCCCCTCAGTTGTTTCACTTAACTTGGAAGTACTACCAAAACCAAATTAGCTGCTGATAATTCCATGAAACATGTTTAGCATAAATTTAATTTATTAAAAATATTAATCTTGGCACATAAATCCTATTTGTAGGCAATATATCAGAAATTAATATTTTCAAAATTATTTTAGGTAACCTTTTTGAAAACAGCCATTCAAAACATTAAATACAAGGCTTCCATTGAACATTATTATTACCTCATCACCTTTTGTAGCTTCTGAGCCTGATGTAGCTGCTACTGTTGTCAAACTAGATTTTTCTCTCAGTCTTTTCACTGTGTCAAACATCTAGGAATAGAGACATAAGTGTTAAAAATAAAATGCAACGTGGCTCTTATGACAATATAGACAGGATTAAAGCTCTTGATATTTAATTTCACATTATTTTCAGATTTTCAAATGGATGAACCCAACTGCCATACTTGTAAACAACAAAAGCATGTAACTGAGACTGTATGTGCACTCGGGGTAGCGCTGCTGCCTCTGTACCCTAAACCTGATGAACACCGCTCAGTCTTCTTGCGGTAATACTGCTCAGCAGCTGTATCATTTGTACATCAGAAGAAAGGACAGAGACTGCTAGCTTATTTCAAGTAGGTGAGATGTGGACCATCCCATGGAAATAGTCACTAAAATCATGTAAAAACTTATACACCTGGAACAGAAAGCCTTCTACCATGTACCTAATTTGTTGAAACTGAGGCTTCAATTTTTATTCACTACTTTCTCCAGCCATCTTTACTTTAATAAGTATCTTTTTGATAATATTAAATATTCTACGTTTACTATACGTATAATAAAGAAGTTAAATATAGTTTTTAAAGTACATTTTTACTTTTTTCCTTCAAATTTTAGAAGTATAGCTTCTCAAAAATAAAATCTTGCAAACCTGCCTCCCTAATGTACCAGTATAGTTGAACAGAAATATAGAATATAGAATAATATATTTATATATAGTTCATAGTAGCCGAGGATAGTTTTGGAACCCTACTATGGATTCTTACCCTCTTTTCCAAGAGGACTGCCTTCTACATTTGCCATCTAAAACTACAAGCACCTGAAACAAGAAGCCCAAGATGGAACAGGACAGTAGTTACTCCTGCTAAGCAGAAGCAGCAGCCTCCTACATTAGAGATGTCACAGCTCTAGAAGGTTTTCTCATCTCTTACTGCATAAGAGCAGCAAGTAGGATTCAAGAAACCACATCTCCTCTGGAGGGAAAAACGTTCCAACAGATTAAGCCGCTCAAGAAACCATTGCAGCTGTAAACACTGGGTTATATGTAGGAATCTTAACATCTTTCATAAACACTTTTTAAGTTACTAAAATCAGATCATATTTATCTCATTGCGTACCTGCAATATCCAACTGACTGTGTCTTTCTGTGCCTCTAACTGAGGAACTCTCTTTAATTTTTCCAGAAGCATTAACACGTTCACAGCATTCAAGGCCGAGCTTCCCATTCCTTTACAAAGGAGGAAAAAAGAAAATTAAAAAAAAAAATTAGAAAAGCATGGCCCTTCAGGGAAAAAAACCCTCAGCATTTTAATGCATTTACAACCATGGACATGTTTTAAAATATTGCTAATTATATAAGACACATATATGAACACAACATTTGTAGCTACGTTTCTGTTTTAATTTCATCTGTTTATTCTGGTTGAATGTGGCATAATCTTCTCCCCTTATAGATCAACAGTTTTTGCTACCTCCAAAAGCATAAGAACAGACAAAACCAGAATTGCCTTTCGCTTCAAGGAGTAGTGGTGAAGTTCTTATAGATTACCCAAGTTTCCTAACAGCTCAGTGTGTGCAAGTTTATTTCTATCACAAAAACTATTAAAATTACAGTAATTATTTGCTTTCTCCACCTCAGTAACAATAAATAACATTTTAGGCCATTCTCTAAACAAAAGGGTGCTTTAAAATAGAGACCATTCTCGTCAATTATATTTCTTTTGCAGTGCTTTCCATTTGAAATGGATTTGCACATTTTCATAACCAAGACAAATACATCACAAAAAACATTTTTTTGGTAATTTTTAAAAATCACTTTTCAGTAAGAGTTTTCTTACAAAAATACTGATTACTTTTGTATCCCTTATCTATAAATGGGCTTTGGTTTTTCTGGTTATGCAAAACTAAAGCTGGTAAAGAAATTCTTTAATGTCTCAATCGTAATTATTTTTAGTGTATTCCTACAGCTGACATGAAGCTTCTTAACAGAAATATGTTTGCTGTGATTATAATACTTCTTGCTCAACCATAATAACAAAATAAAAAGAGAAAGTGAAATGGCAGTGTTTTTCAAACTCAGTGACACCTGTTTAGACAAGATTTTTGAAAAACTATATGAGGGCAGTTCAGCAGCTTTATGTGTTTATTTATTTATGAAGGAGGTATTTTAAAGCCATGTAGATGTGGTGCTTTGGAGAAGGGTTTAACACTGGACTTGGGAGTGTTAGGTTAACAGTCAGACTGGATCTTAAGGGTCTTTCTCAACCTAAACAATTCTATGATTCTAGTTCGTAATTCTTATCTCTGTTTCATCTCTCAAGTGACAAATTATGTTTAGTTTGATAATGGATTTTTTTATTCATTTATTCTTACACAGTGAAGGAGAAACTCTAGATAAGGTGGAAGATTATTTAAAAAATGTAGATTCCAACTCCCACTCACGAGTCTTGAATGTAAGATCAGGCATTTGCTTCTGTTATCACTACCATAGTAAAAGACTTTAACTTGGAGGTAGATGAACAATTGTACAGCTCAGGAATACAAAAGATTGAGACAGTTCAAAAACTAAACCCACAACCAAAAAAAGCCCCCACAACTTCAGCAGGTTTTAATTCTATAGCAAAAAGTAAATCCTTTCTGACTAAAATTGCTGAATACTTTTCTAGTTTATTTGTGTCCTTACAAAATCAAGTTAGTCTAATTTACTCTGCCCTTTTAAAGGAAATGAAACATACTTGTTGCTTTGTGATAAAAATCAAAGGTTACTTCTTCTTCTGGGTGCTTCTGTAGCTGCTGCTTCTCTTCTAGTAACCCTAAAGAAAGAAGATGAAGCACCTACAAAAAGAGAACAATAGTAAATCTAATTCACTGTTGGAGGTCTGGAAAACTGGCATATAAAATAAGGATGTTTAAGATAGTTCTGTACTATATGCTGATTATAAATAAGAAAAAATGCAGAGATCATACACAGAAAGTGAAACAACAATACACAATATAATTTTCCTGCACATTACTTGCACTAAAATTAACAAACTTGCATACATTTTACATTGGTAACATATGAATCTTGTCATTTTGCTGATACAAATCTATCAATATTTGGTTAATTCTATAATCCAAAGATTAGCAGGTAAGGCAAGATAATTAAATAATCTATGCGCTCTAATTAAGAAAACTGATTAATTCAGTCTGTAAATTTAGGTCCTAATCCTATAAATATTTTTTGATGAAGTATTTTTATTTATTTTTAATGTCAGCAATTCCTTTTTGTAAAGCATAAAGTCACTGTGGTAAAATTAAATGTTTTAAATCCTTTAAAAAAATTATCTCATTTCATGACTGAGGCTCCAAAGACATTTACATCTTCAGAGACTTTGCAGCTTACAAGATGAAGCAACTCCAATTTCTCGAAGATGATCAAAAGGGTTACTTATCTGCACATGAATTTTTAAGTAAAAGATGAGGTAAGGAGAATTACATACTGAAACAGTGATGAGGCAACACAGGGGAGAAAGCAAAGTAGAAGACTGAAGAATATTCCCAATTTAATACTACTGTGTTTCACATTTCTATTTTACAGGGGAGATAAATAATTAGAAATATTCTCCTTGCTGGTAAGGTTTATAAAAACAGGTTTGGGGACAAAAAGTAAATGCTTATAATTTAAAACTGAAGTCTGTCTCTACACATTTTGATCTTAACCTGGTCAACACAAAAATGCCCACAGGAAGAAAACCAAAGCTAACCATACCATTTGGATCATGGCTTCAGTCCACAAGTGGGTTTCCAGCTCTACTGCTCTCTGAAGAATGGTCCGCAGTATGTGCATCATAACATCACAGTTCAGAATCCTCACCACGTTGCTGAAAGCAGGACTGAAGTCTGGAGGAGGAGGTGGTAGCAATGCTAGAAAACGGTGATGTGCAAATACATTAACAAACTGGCATCTCAACAAAGATGGCAGGTAAAAAGCAGAGAGCACAAACATACTCATTCCAGTAAAAGAACAACTAGAATTTTAAATTAATAAAAATATGCTCCAACACAATTGTTCACTTGTCAGCTTTTATCTTCAGCAAAACCAAGTACTTTTAATAAGTTCTTATATAAAACACCTGCAAACTAAGGTAAACAATCAATCACAAGTACTTAGTTGCATCTCTAAGTGCAAATACTTTACACTGTCTGATCACTTATGTATCACTAATAAACATATAGTGTTTGTCCTTTGCATCAGATATAAAGTTTTCAAGTAGTTAAAGAAGAGCGAGCAGTGGATCTTCCAGAGTGTAGTGTCTCACATTAGTGTCCCACGTCCCATGGCGTTCTGATAATTCCATAATTCTGATAATTTCTACTTCTATAAATGCAATGTCTTCAAAACTGTCAATAATTTGGCAATTTAGACTGAATGAATTATAAACATTTACTGAGAAAGACCACATAGCCAAATAAAACCATATGCACAAAGTATCTGCAACAAAATGGGTAGCCTCGGGGGAACACCCACTGAGGTAAACAGTTATCTCTGTAATTTGGAACTGTATTGTCTGATTATGAGAATGTGAGTTTCTGACAATTACATCTAAATATCTGCATTTTTAAAAAGTTCTACAAAATAAACATCCCTGCTAGCATTAAGTTGCTAAAGTGAACAAAGGAAATAAAAAAAATTAAGAGGGCACCATTGAAAAATCTGTCACCTGCATATAATAAACAGTGGGAAAAGAAAACAAAAGTAATTCAAAGATTTGGTTTTTTTTCTCATTATTTTCCAGCTGCCATAATCTTCCAAGTTACTTACAACTGAAAGAAATTAAATTTTTTCAAAGGGAACGTGATTTCTGATTCAACTGTGTCCCTCCTAAACAACAATGCCAATTTATTCTTTTTCAGTTCCACAGTTTTTCAACTGAAAGGAATCCAAAGCAAATAAAATTTACTCAGAATGAATTTTAACCTGTATGTAACCAAGTATGAAAGACTGTAGTGCCCCTGATAGTACACAAAAATCAAAATAGGCTTTAGAATATGAAGTAAAGATTTAGGTATTCAACTGGAAGGGCAATCTGGGAAGATGAAAACAATTACCCGTTGCAACTCACAAAAGCAGGTGATAGTTGATTTTATTGAATTGTTCATTGTACCTAATTAGTTCAGCTTACAAAGTCTTCCCAAATCAAGTCAATTAACGTTTGTGACTTGAATGGGCAAAAGTAAAATCAAGAGGGGAATCACATTTGTGCTACAATAGAAACATGGCACTTTATATGTATTTGCAGCTTCTGTAAAAGAATTATTTTGAGCCTCAAGTCTCATATTTAAAGAATGTATATGAACACTAGTTCGTGCAGCAACCTCCTCTATGTGGCACTATTATGTCTCAACATCGTGCTAGAGAAACTACTCACAAAAATAAACTTTTGCCCCCTAGAGTTTTTGTGGTGGAGGAACTAAGTTGTTCATTTTGTCAATGGTTGCTATGCCATGTTTATTTGTCTACATGGAAATTAAACTAAAAATTGCTATCTGTGTGTTAAAAAAAGGAAAAAGAAAAAAGAAATGCCAGATTCTAATTAATTACAATTACTACAAATCACAACCAATTTGATATGAACTCAATTAACCATAATTAAGTCACAAGACATCTCCCAAAGCTCATTTTATATGCACAACTACATACACTACTGAATTGCCACATTTATTGAGCTATCAGTTTCCAGTTTTTACCTTCATCTCTGTTTTCTTGTTTCCTCCTTTTCTTTTGTGTGTGTTCAGCCTACAGAAAAAGTAGTGTTGTTATGTCAGCATTTCTACAGAAGTGCACAATGAAACAATAAGAAATGTTAAACTAGAAATGTGGCAGGATACACAGTCAGTACTTGGTTGTGTAACTAGAATCTTGCTTGAAATCCTTTTAACAATACTGCATTTTGCATTTCAATATGTAGTAGAGATAAATAATTGGACTTGCTTCCTCAATAAGTTTTAAAAGCAAACTTTGATAAGAATTATCTTTGAAGTAGAAAACCCCAGATTTTGTTCTTAGCATAAACAGTTAACAGATTTAATACATAAGTTATCATAGGGAAAATACTAATGCAAACCATACCACGTGAATTTGTATTAAGTCTTAACTTCATCAGAAGCTTAGTTTTGAAGTTAGCTGCATATACTCTTTACTGAATCAGTTTCTTTAGATTCCATCATTTTCTTCAATTCAGCAAAATTCTCTAGACATTGGCACCATTTTCTAACCTTTGAGAGTGAATCTTACACGGCTTACCTTGCTGTGCTGGGTCTTAGTATAGTGATAAAAGAACATATTGAATTCCTTCAAGCATTCATCTTTCAGTTCATAAACTCCATGGCCAGACACACCTGGTTTCCTTACAGAGAGATATTTCATGACATGGAGATTAATTATGTATGTTCGGCACATCTTTCAATGTAAACAAACCAGCAACACCATTTATTTTCTAAGGAAATGCTAACAAGAAGGGGAACAGTGATGGTTGTTCATTAACTTATGAAGAAGATAGAGTACAGTTATCAGTCTTTCATTTTGAAGACTGCTTACTACTGTAAATCCTACCCAGCAGCAAAATATTTTTAGTGTATACCATCCACAGCACACCATATGACCTCTGACAGGTAAATGCTTTTTAACTTTCTGGCTTAGAATTTCATATATTTGATGTGATTGTATGTAATTCATTACTTTCTTTAACCAAAATACAAAACAAGTAATACAAAGAGCCACTTTCCAGCCACTGAGATTTTTTGAACCTTCCAAATAATTCCCAAAATTCCTAGGTATCCCTATAGTTGCCCTTGATGAAATGTAAACAAGTGAGCCATGTGAAACTTAAAATAAGGTAAACTAAAATAATTAAAATTACAAGACATTTTTGTGACAAAAAGAGCAGACATTTGAACTAGTATTTCTCAGCTGCTGCAATTGACTGTTCCATACTTGCATGTATATCTATGTTAAAAAAAAATTAACTCCCATCTTAAAGTTACATCAGGCTTGCAGCTAAATAGGTAACGATTAGGTGGTAACTGTCCAAGGCGCAATGAGTTGTTAAAGCTACCAACCATCTTTGAAATAAAATAAAATTTGAAGATTTTCCCACTCGGATTTGAGATTACTGAACTCAAACTGGATTTGAAAAAAGAGGGGGGGCAACAGGAGAAAAGCAGCAGCTTTGGGTACTCCATATGCTTTTCTTTCCTATGCATATTTGAAAGCATATATATTTAAAGACAGCAAAATATTAGCTGAACAGAGACTGTGCTGCGCAGCTTGTTTAACCCATATAATCCAGGAGATCTTATTTCATGTTCAAGCTACTTACAAAGTAATTTTAAGAACTTACTTAAATGTAGCCACTTTATCAATTACATTCTCCAAGCCAGTTTCATTGTTCTCCTGGTAAAAAAAGAAAAATAGTTTGGGATAAATATATAACGATTCAAATATCTTCAGTACTATCCTAGGTATAACAAAAATAGACATATATGTATTTTGCCTACTCTTATTCAGAAAGGAAATATTCACAATTGACAAGCTACTTTGGATAATACTTAATTTAACCATATAACATTTTATTTGTAACAGAGCTGAACTCCAGAAACAAAGCAGTGCCTAAACCCAACTTCAGTGGAGGGAAAAACAGAATATTAGTCTCTTTGAACAGTGAACGTTGATCTCCCAGTATTGGTTTCTGACAATATTCCAGGCCATTTAATTTACAATAAAACTGAAGTGTTTTGCATTCGTTACCAGCCCTGAAAACTTGCACAGGCTATAAAATCTATTCCACATCTCTATCTTTTGCTTGAATTTTCAACAGTTGGAATAGAATGGCAGGGAAATCTGTGCTTTCAAATAGACCTGTACAATACTTGACTTCCAATGAATCTGCACAGGTTTAAGTGATCAAAATTACAGGATCAAATTTACTGATGGTACACAGGGCAGAATGGAATCCAGCTGCGTGGTCCTACAGGGCCTAAAGAGAAAAATATTTTAACACTTTTTAAAAATTTTATTTTAATCTAGGAGTACAGCTGAATACTCTAAAAAAAATTCCACCTCTTCACCAAAAAGCACAGTCCCCATATGAGCCTTTTCAGACTAGACTGTACTTGAATCCAATACATTTACCCTTATATCAGGAAGGCGTGTAAGCCCCTTTGTCATGCTATTTTGTAATTCTGGTATAAAGCTCAGGTCTTGGTTTCAGAAATAAAACACTTCCATATAAAAGATACGGAAGCTAAACAAGAAAAAGACATATACCAAGAAAAAGTGACTTAAGGAAAAAAAGTAAATAAAACAGGACTCACATTTTCAGGCAAGGACTCGGTAATTGCACTGTGAGCCATTGGTTCAATACATAATAGATGGATGATTTCTCTCATGGTAACATCTTCTTTTGTCACATTACTCAGTCCAGGCACATATCTTTCCCCTACCAGAGCGAATCAAAAGGAAAAGAATGGCAAACATGACAGTTATAAAGCAATTCTGAATTTCTCACCAAGGTAATGCTATTGCTGGGATATTTCAAAGCATAAGTTTGCATTTGCCAGAAACTATGCCAAGTGTCTGAGAGGGAAAGTGTTTTTTAGCCTACTTTCCTAACAAAATTGGCTGAGATGGAGTTTCTCTTCATATTGTACTGTAATAGTCAATTACAAAGTTATCTAACAGCTTTTTTCACTGTGCAACCCCTACGGCTCCCAACTGACAGACAGTTGTGCTACTGAACCATCTATTTGAAACAGGCATTCTCCAGTATCCTCTCCACACCATCTACGTTAAAGAAAGTCATCGAGCCTGCTTTGTCAAATTGTAATAATCCATTACTATGACAGTAGAGAGAAATGAAACTCACCCACAACATAGATGAGAATCTGTAGCATCTCTTCTATTAACACGTTACATTGTTTGATTAAATCCTAGAAGAATTAGAGAAATTAGTGTGGTTTTTTTAAAAAAAAACCACAAAACCACACAAAAAAAAACCAGGCAGGAAAAATCTGTCTGAGCTCAACCTTCAGATATACTACTTTGCTGAAGTACTGGACTGCAAGAAGAAACCTCCATTCTCACAAACTGGAAAAAATACCTGCGCTTGTAGAGAAGATATTATTCTGCAACTGAAGTGCAAGATTGACATGCAGGAAAAGAAACAGCAGCTAAAAATGTATCCCAAATGAAGGCTTAGATGAAAGTTCAAGCCTCAAGAAGTAGCACAACAATTCAAAAAACTTCCAGCCAAAATAAGAACACATAAAATGGCTTAAGAGACACAGAAATTTTATAGCAAAATCATTTACGTGGATTTTTGTAGATGCCCCATGAATTCAAGGTCAAAGAGGGAAAAACCTGTTTGTTAATTTTGAGTAAGCCTCTACAAATTCCAGATAAAAAGTGATTTATCTAACCACCAGGTCCTGTGTTGACTGACTCTTAGAGTGGTAATAAAAATGCAATTATCAATAGTAGCTAGTTTTTCTTGTTACTGTTATGTAAACTCCCAACAAATTAACCAGCAGAAATAGTTGCTACTTACCTGATCTTTGGTGGGCTTGAGTTTTTTGAAAGCATCAGCAAGCTCGTATCTTTGCAGTATCAGCAGGAGGAACTGGTTTGGATCCATGAGAGATGCACCTATCTATCAAAAAATCCAACCTAATGTGAACATCAGTTACTATTACAGTTCTTTGTTAATTATGAAAAATATTTTTACCAAGAAAAATCATACAAAACTTTCATTGAATTTCTTTTAATTTTAATTAAATCTATGAGTCAAACAAGCAATGATTCAGAACATTATACCTGAAGCATGATGATGTCTTTGTCATACATCTCTTCTCTGCATTTAACATCTTGATAATAGAATACCTGAGAAATGGGAAAACAAAATTTAAGCAGAGAAGCAACATAAAGTAATGCGCTATCAAATGCACACCACTTCATGTCTGAGGCTTTTTTAACCTGTAGAGCACTTTTATTGAGCAAGGGAAAGTCCTATGTTTATTTTAAAAAAACATGTACTTTGATGGAAGTGAAAAATGTTTTTTCATCTATTCAATGTCTATGCCATACTTTGACACACCCCCTTCCAAGACAAAATAGTTCTCAGGGCTCCTACTGAATTAAGTCAAAACATCCTACTTCTCCTACCCCAGTTCTCAGAGACAACTCTACAGGGTGCTACCAATACATACTTTCAACAAAGGGTCCTGTGAAAGGTAAACAGAAAATTTTTGCCAAAGTAAAAAAAAAAAAAAAAAAAAAAAA